GCACTCCTTTCTCCATCCGCCTCGCCCTGCCTTTTCGCATCGTGCCGTTCGCCCTCCATTCGGTGACCTCCATGCACCAACACCATGCGTACCTTTCGCATACTGCGATCTCTGTACGTTTGTATGTATGTAGTTTGGGTGATGCTCTGATAAACCCTCCGGATCTTCGACAAAGGTCGGATATTTCTTTTTCAAAGTGCAAGGTGTGAATAAGAAGTTTATGATAGGGCTACTACGACGAACTATGCGGCAATCGACTGGGCGCCTGGCGCCCGACCACCCCCGCGCAAAGACCTCGTAGTAGCCCTCCCCGTAACCGACTTGGCCGGAGACGTGTCCTTCCAGGCCGCTGTCGCCGCGCAGAGATCGGCGCGAGCAGTCGCTCGAGGTGCTCTACTGGCTGGCGGTGCTCAAGGGGAAGGCGCACACGCTGGCCGAGGACACGGTCGTCAACACACCGACACCATCCCCGCGGGCTATCTCGTGGTCAAGGCGCAGTGGCTTCAGGCTCGAGCAACGCGAGTGCGAGGGCAAGCTTCGCTCCTACACGCTGCTCGAGGCCGAGACGCTCATCATCGTGAATCACATGGTGCGGCTGGCGGGCTTGCGCTTCTCGCCCGGGCGGCCCTGCGGACCGCCAGCTGAGGAGCGCGCGCGAGAAGCGCTCTATATTGGCCTACAGACGCATTACTCGCTCGAGGAGGGCGTGCTGCAGTGAAGACTTATTTTGGAGGCGTCGATTTGTGCAAAAATGTGTGTTAGAGTGCGCTAGATGGCAAAATTTTCTTCGCCTCCGGCGGGGCCGCTCGCCGCGGGGCTAGAGAGTGACTTTTGTCGATGTCGGCTAGAAGTGCTGCACGTTTTTCAGAATTTCACCCGTGGCGCAAGTGCTCCAACCTCCAAGTGCCGAGAAAGTCATGTGCACATGCAGGCAGCCGCGTGCACACCCAGAACAAAACGTACACCGGACATTCGCGTAAGGCGTCTCCCCCTGGCGGTGGCGGGGTTGGCGGTTGCGCAGGCCCGTGCTCCCACACGCCCGTTCACCCGAGCGGCGGTGCAAAAGACAAATGTGAAATGATAACGATGCTCGAAGGGAAACAAAGAAGAAAACACGCAGCTCGCAATGCCCCAATCTCGAGAGAGAGAACCTCGAGAGACGAACACCCCCGGGAGAGTCTATCGAGTATCGGGGGGGCTTATACGAGTACGAGAAGAAGAAAACCAAAAGTTTTTCTTGTTAGCGCGCGTCGCGGCAGGAAGCAGGGTTCAGGCTTGATAGGGGTCTGTTGGCACTGACTCGCGCCAAAACGCCCCGCACGCCGGTACGTACGCCGGTACTACGCGCCCAACCTTTCTTTCTTTCACCTACATGTTTGTTTTCTATCTATCCCCAGAACGCGCAGCGAAGCAAAACAATGAAAAAACGCGGAAAATAGGGGCCCCTTGCAGGATCCTATTGGCCAAGAAGCCCAAGCTGGGGCACCCCCCCCCTATCTGTCGGGACGCAAACCCAAGAAGAACAGACCCACCGCGAACAATGCCCAGCGAAGATGCCCCAATCGAGGAGGCCACCGAACGGGATTTAGAGCAGGCAGAGGAATTCTTCGCAAAGTTCACCGAGCCTGCGCGCCCCTCGGAGCACCTGAAGTACCTCGAGCTGCCCGCGTGGGACGCGCGTCACTCCTTTGTCACCGACGCTGCCTTTGACCTGGGCGACCGGGCCATTGACGCGTGCGACGCCTTGGGTCTTAGCTCAGCGATGCGCACGCTGCGGCCTGCGCAGCTGACGGAGCTGCACCTGCATCGGTGCAGCCTCTGTGCCGATGGCCTGGCCGCGGTGGTTGCGGCGCTCCCGGCGCTGCCGGCACTCGAGTCGCTCTTTGCGATGCAGAACGGCGCGGGCGACGGCGCGATGAGTGCGTTTGCCGGGCTCGCGCGCACCGGCGGCGTGCCGCTCCGCCGGCTCGCGCTGCAGGAGAACGGCATCACGGACTGCGGCGCCGCCTCGCTTGCGGCGGCGCTGGCGGGCGCTACTCCGCAGCTGGAGTGGCTCTACCTGTCGGGGAACGAGATCGGAGACGAGGGCGGGGTGGCGATCGCCGAGGCGGTGGAGGGTGGCGCCTGCCCTCGGCTGGCGCGACTCGCCCTTCAGCACAACCGTCTCGGAGACGCTACGCTCCTCGCTCTCGGCCGCGCTGCGGCGGGCGGCAAGCTGCCGAAAGGCGAGTACCTGTACGTGCACGAGAACGAGCACACGCCCGCGGGGAGAGACGCGCTCGCGGCGGCCCTCGAGGGCCACCCCAACCAGCTGCAGGCCCACCTCGGCTGGCCGCCTCCCCTCCCTCGCGACGAGCTGCGGCGCGACGAGGCCGCAGCCACGGTGCCCCCCCTCCCCCTGCCTCTGCCTCTACCCTGCCCTCCCCATGCCGCACGCGCTTTCCCCGCCCCCACGCCACGACCCGGCCTCCTTGCTGCTAGGCGGCATCGCTCGCCGGCGCGCCGCCCAAGCGCAAGCCCTACGCGCCGCCGCCTCCTCGGGTGGCGCCGCCTCACCCGGATGGAGACGTGCCGCCCTGGAGGGTGCGGCCAGCGACAACCACCACCAAGGCGGTCTCGTTCGTGGAGCCGCCGCCCCGCCCACCGCCCGCCTCCGCGGACCCTCTCCCGTCGGACCAGCCGTCCTCCAAGGGGGAGCTGCCCGGTGACTTTTTCGAGCGGCTGCTGGCGATGTGAGACCGAGGCGAAAAGGCTGCAGGACATACACGCTCTAGGAAGTAGGATCTTGGACGCGTCACGTTCGTTGTGTGCGGGTTGTCATGTGTGCTGTGTGTTAAGGGAAAAGGTACATGGCGCCGAGAGAGATGGCCCGGGCCACAAACTGTACGCAATGGTTGGGTAGTAGGGCTAGAGAGGGTCGCGTCTATACACACTTATAGCCTCTGGCAGAGGCTCTTCTCTGGTAGGACGGGAACGAGATGATAGTAGGGAGTAGAAGAAAGCAAAGAGGAGCCCTGCGCACGCACGACTCCGCAGGAGAAGCCCCTCCCGCCCGTGCTTGCGCAGCGCAGCCTCCTCCTCTGCCAGACGGGCTCTGCCAGACGGGCTCTGCACACAGGCCACAGGCCACAGCGAGCGCGAGCGCTCAACTTAGCCCCCGCACGGAGCCGGGCTCAGACTTAGACGCTGTATGGTCGGGGGCCCCATGAACTTAGACGACATAAGGCCAACTCCGGGTAAAACCGGGTATACCTGAAAAGCCTTCCGGTTTACCCGAAAAATACCTTGGTCCTGGAGGACGCGTCCAACGTATGCCGCGCACGACGCCATATCGCCTTCTCGCTTCTCCCAGGGCCAGTGCGCTACTTGCGGCGCGCAACTCTGCTCAAGTACGCGCAACGTACCATGTGCTGCCGCTATGCGTGCCTTAAGGCGGCTGCGGCGAAGCGGCGGGCGCGGCATGCCGATGGCAGTGCGGACGATGCGGTTGCAATGTGTTCTGCTTCAAGATTGTGGCGGTGCTTTGCCTTTGGCATGCACTTCTGCGATCCCAATCAGCTCATCGCAACGAAGCAGCGCAACAAGCTGGCTGCTGCCAACAAGGCCCTATGCTACCTCACGCGCGGATCGTTCAAAGAGGACCAGCATACACAGGCTTCTCTGACATGCGTTTGTTTGAGCTTGAGGCTATTTGTGAGAACTGTTTGGGCTTTGGCTAGAAGTCGCCGAAGATTCCGCTCAAGAAGCAGCAACGAGAATCGGAAGTGGGAAGAGGAGGATGCTGAGGCGGCGATTGCTGAGAGCATGAGGAGGATCGATCGCCCGCCGCAGGCGAAGAAAATTTGGGGGCTGCGCCGTATATCGTTGTACGCGTGTTTTGATCTATGATCACGGTGGGAGCCTCTCGCTTCACGCTTGGGACTTGGCCCAGGCCGTCCGGCCGACTTAGCCGATGTAATAAATAAATAAAGAAAACGGTCAAACTCTGAGACGAGATGGGATTTAGGGACGTGTGTCCCCGCCCTGCACGATCTTGGTGTGAGGGATCTTCAATCCGTGTCCCTGTGACGGCGGAGTTAGTATCGGTGGCGCAAATACCTCTCTGCCGCGAGGGTGATACTGCAATACTGGGCCTGGGGCATGCAGATACTGTGTTACTGAAGTAGTGTGGCCATGGCAGTATCGCGCAGTATTTTCACCGCAATACTCGGAGCCGGCGCATCGGATACTGGGATACTGCAGGATACTGCGGGATACTGCTGGATACTGCTGGATACTGGCAATTCATGGAAGTGTGCCCGTGTGTAAGCCATGGTCCAGCAGCCAGCTGCATCCCCATCCTCCTCACTGGTAGTTGTCACCATGCAGCTGCACCCCTCCCTAGAGCATCCCTGGCTGATGTGGATACCGGATCCTCGGAGACTGGGATACCTCGGACCGGCTTGGGCTACAAATGTCGCAAGTGGGCAGTGGTGATGGCAGGCGTTATGTGATTGTTCCAGAATGCATCGGCAGGAGTTGTGATGTGTGGAAGCTCACGAGTTCTCCGACTGCCGCTCGGTAGTCGGTAAAGAGCTCGTATCCGCTGCCATTTCTGCCGCCGAGCTGAACAGCGGCGGTGAAGCACGGCCGGCTGTGTCAGGACCGCGCCCGGCGCTGGAGAGTGCTCGAGAGCATCCGACATCGTCGGCCGCAGCGGCATGGTCGGCCGAGGTGATTCAGTTTATGTGTAGGTCCGTCACCCGTTTGCCGTGATGCTCAGCGGCGGCGCCCACAGCGGTGGGTTCACTCGAGACGGTCCGGCGCCAAGCAAAGAGTTGTGTCGGTCACCAGAGCCTGCTGTGTGGCGGTGTGCGGCCGATTGGGGTCGTGCGGGGCTGGTTGGGGTTGGCGGGAGGAGACATCGAAGGAACTTCGGCGACATGAATGACTCGCACTTTTCGACCGTTCTATCACTTTCACGCGTTCTCCCTGGGTCACACAGCACTTGCGAGAGGGCGCCGCGACGCCCGGCCGCCTGAGATGCAAAAGTTTGCACACGCCATTCAAGCGCTGCAGACGCTGGTGCTCCTGCGTGCCGGCGCCAAGCTTCAATTGCCAAGGCTGACGCTGCATCACAACGTTGATATCGCATGCAGTGCGCTTGTGGGAGCTGACGCGCCCAGCCAATCCAGCGCCCCTAGCCACCGAGATAGCTCTGGGACCCTTTTACGGCACAGCTGCTGTGTGATATACTATGATTCCTGTGCGTGCGCCGCAGGACGTGACCACCTTGCTGCGCTCAATGTTGGCCGTGACGCCTCCCCGATGTGGGTCTTCCTCTCCACACAGCACCAGCACCAGTGCACTGCCACGACACTCTCCCTCAGTTCCAGCACTGGCGCCTCAGCCGTCTTCGCCCACCTCGTTCCGTTGCCGCCTTCCCCACCCCGCCAGCCCTTGCACACGCGTTTACACCATTGCGCCGGCAGGGCGCGGGCACACACTTTACGGCAGTCTTCGCTTGCCCACGCTGCTCAATTGGCTCAATCCCTCCCCGCCTAGCTGCTGCCTCGCATCCCGCTGCTGGACGTACGACTGCGGCCGCAGCGCAGTGCATCGCTCGAGGGCCGACCCCGGATACTGGGATACTGCAGGATACTGCAGGATACTGCGGGATACTGCTGGATACTGGCCATCTCTGATGCGGATACTGGGATACTCGGCGGGGCTGGAGGACCAAGTAGCGCCCAGTATTGCAGTATTATTACTTGGCATTTAGCTCTGTGATACTGGGATACTTCGCCGGCGTGGATCGAGTACTGTGATACTCACCGGGTGCGTCAACACGAGTATCGAAGTATCTGCGGTACCAACTCGAAGTATTGAAGTATCATTACTGCGCCATATCTCACAGGGAAATCTTTCACAGTATCCCAGTATTCGAGGCCTGCTGCGAAGTATCCCAGTATCTGGACAGCCTCCGCGAAGTAGAAGTAAGAAAATACTCCAACTCTCCTTGCCTACTAACAAGCCAGTCAGGCGAGAGCAAGATATTCAACTAAAACGCACAAGCACCAGTCGAGAAGGGAGAGACAGCAACGACAGTCAGAAGCCAGCGCTGTTCACACTTTGCTTGCCCATTTTACAACAGGGTAGGTGTATTGTTGGCAAACAAGACACAGAGCTCACACAGAATCACAGCGGGAGGAAAGCGGCGAGTCGCAATTCCTGGGGTCCTTGTGGCGGGCCACCCTGTCCAGAGGCGGAGGTGCCTTTCTGGGATCTTTCGATCGAGTCTATGCGTCCTCGGCCACGCTCTCCTTTCGTGGCTGATAAGCATTCGCAGACCAGGCGATGGAGATGGCGGGGAGCACGGATGTGACTGCTCACCAAGGCCGAGGACTGGTAGCACGACTCGCACCGACCCTTCACGAACCGAAAGGCCGTGCCCGGCGTGCAAGGGGCACGGTAATCCGGCAACGTGTTGGGCGCCCCATTCCGTTTAGGGCTAGGTCGGCTCAGGGCCCCGTCCACCTCCCTCCCACTTGGCGCGTGATAATGGGGAGATGCCACCCAGGCCAGCCAGGGCAGGGGCGGGGGGCGAGGGCGGAGGGCGGGATGGGCGCCAAGCGGGAGGGAGCGAACGGAGTGGAATGCACAGATGGGCTTGGGGGATGGCGAGAAGGCGGAGGGGCAGGAAGGGGGGAGGGCGGCAGGAGGGCGGAAGTCGGCATGGGCGAGCGGCGGGTGGTTCGGTTTTACAGGTGCTTTACCAGGTCCGACGCAGGTTCGGCACCCTGGCCGCACCCCGCCTCGGAGCTCTCGGTAACCAGACCCTCCGCACGAGCTCACACAGCTCACAAATGTGTGCCGTCTCCCAAATACAAACCCCACCCTCTACTTGGAGCCGGGCAGCGCCTGCAGCGCGCGGGAGTGCTGCTCGAGCCCGCGGGCGTGCAGCGTCAGCTGCGAGCCGCCGATGGAGCGGGCCGTGTTGAGTACCGCCGTCTGCATGTCGCGCCGCAGCAGCGCGAGGGCCTCGCCGGCACCGGACGCCGCGTGGCTCGCCTTGGCCTTCGCCTCGACCTCGATCTGCTGCAGCGCGGGCAGCTTGCGCTTGTCGGCCTTGCCCTGCAGCTTGGTTAGCGACTGCGCGTGCTCCCTGTGCGCCGCCTCGTAGGTCGCCGCTCGGGCCGAGCAGGCCGCGACGCCGGAGGCGAGGAAGGTGTTTAGAGTCGCGACCAGGGCGTCGAGTGGCGCCTCGGCCTCGGCCGCCCGCGACTGCCACTCGATGAGCAGCGCCGCCGCTCGCTGCAGCTCCTGCGCGGTCTCGAGGGCCGGCTGCTGCGCCTCAAAGCTCGGCTGCGACACCGGCCAGTCGCCCGCCGGGACCTCGCCGCTGGCCAGGGAGGCGCCACGCACGCAGAGCGATGCAACGAGCCCGACCGCGCGAGCGTGCGCCTCTTGAGCTGCCTTGAGCGATTGGACCGACCTCTTGCACGTCTCAACAAACTCGCTCGCCTCGGACGCCGCAGCGGTGTAGTCTTTGGGCGAAGGCAGATTTCGAGGCGTGGAGGGCTGGCTGCCGGGCTCGCTGCTGGCACCCCGGCTGCTGGGCCGCGACATCGCTGAACGATTTTGGCTTGAAGTGGTCGGCTTGGTCGTGGGGCGTCAGCACGGCGTGAGAGCCAACGGCTTTGTGAAGGGTGGGGGGCTCCAGGGTCATCGAATTCTTTTTCGCTTCTTGCGAGGGGCTCATTTTCGTTTTAGGGGGCTCTTACACTCCCGTAGGAGGACTCTGCTGACAGGGTTTGCGATGAGGAGAGAAAAGGGTTTGAGTCATTTTGCGTTATGATCCACTATATACCTACAACTTATTCACGAAATCGACTTTGGCCAAAACCTGCAACACACACACACAAAGGCGTGCGCAAGTTGCGGGGGACGCACGACCTCTTGATCCGAGTTGCACGAGACGACTTGACCGGCAGCGTACGCTGCCGCGGCTGCTGGCGCGGAGTCAAGCGACCCACACGCCTCCGCCGAGTCCCCAGCCGAACCCGCCGGGCTTGCCGCCGCCTCCGAGCCCGAAACCCCCGCCGGCGGATGGCGGGCCGTCGAGCCCTGTCGCACCGCCGCCGCCAGCCGTGCCTCTCGTGGAAGAGTGCGTGATCACGATGCAAATCTACCCGACTGGCGAGGCTGCGTTCGTGCACTCGCCGACGGACGATAAGCTGTTCCGTCTCGACTCGACCGAACGCTTCCGGGTGCGGTGGGCTGGCGGCCGCTTCCCAAGCGCGGCAGACTCCAGCTGCGCCGTCGCCGGCTGCGAGGTGCACGACACCAGCTGCGTGTGCAGCACGTCGGTCGAGGAGGGTGCTGCCTTCGCAGCCGGATCGAGCATGCCGACCAAAGAGGAGGCGCTCGAGCGGCTGCGGATAGGCTCGCTCGCCCCCTCGCAGCTGGGAGGCACCTTCAGCGAGTGCACCGCCGCCGAGTGCACCTCGAGCCCCGGCGTCACGCTGTATCTTCAGGGTGGCGGCGGCAGCCTGGCCAGCCTCGACGAGGCGTCGGTCTGGGCAATCGCGGCCAACAAGAGCCGCGTGATCTACTTCGCTAACCTCGTCTCGCGCGTGCTTGTCGGGACCAGCGGCGAGTACAGCTTCCGAAACGCGCCCGTCTTTCAGAGCTGGCAGCCGAGCTCTGACACCAGGACGAAGGGCGTCTCGCGGCGGGATGTCGCCTACGAGACGGTCGCGCTCCTAGACCATTTGAGCTACCACTCCTCAACTGCACCATTTGTCTGCTACCGGCTCATCCAGCGCCTCACCACCTCCAACCCTTCACCGCGCTACACGGGGGTCTGTTCGGAGGCGTTCGTCAACGGCGAGTACGGCGACGAGGTGCACAGTGGGGGGAACGGTGACTTGGCCGCTGCCGTATCGTCAATTTTGCTGGACCGTGAGGCGCGCTCGGCGGTGCTCGACGCAGACCCGAGCTTTGGGAAGCTGCGCGAGCCGCTGCTCAAGGTGGTTGCCACGCTGCGCTCGCTCGAGATTGCGTTGGATCAGCCCGACCGGCAGGTGCTGCTCAACGAGATGGACCAGCGCATTGGGCAGGCGCCACACAAGTCGCCTTCGGTCTTCAACTACTACACGCCCTTCTTCGCGACTGGAAGAGCGCAGGAGGCGGGCCTCGTCGCCCCCGAGGCTCAGATCATGACGTCGCCCTACCTCGTGTCCTGGGTGAATGGGATGCTCTCGCTCGCACGCTACGGCCTCACCTCCTGCCACAAAGGCTTTGGCAACCAGAACGACCACATGTGCGCGAGCACGGAAAGTTCCATCGAGACGGCTGACGCCGCGCTAGCCTTCGCTCCATCGAACCCGTTGGACGCTGAGGCGACCATCGGTGAGCTCGACTTGGTTCTGACGGAGGGGCGCCTGAGCCCCGCCGCGCGCGAGTACATCGTTCAGGCCTACGCCCTGCGGCTCGCGAGAGTGGACGCGAACGCGGCCCTCCGTCACGCGATTGAGCTCTTCCCGTTCACGCCGGAGTTCCACGCCACAAACCTGCAGCGCTCCCTCGGCCCGAGGCAGTCGTCGTCGTCGTCGTCGTCCTCGGGGACGCAGCGGCGGCCTCTCAAGGCCATCATTATGCTCTACATGAATGGAGGTTGCGATTCGTACAACGTGCTCGTGCCCCACTCGGGCTGTGAGGCGCACCCGACCCACTCGGACCTGTACGCCGAGTATTTGTCCATGCGTCGCATCGTTGGCATCCAGAAGAACAAGCTTTTGCAGATCGACGTGCCAGAGGGCACGCAGCCGTGCACCAAGTTTGGCCTGCATCCAAACCTTCTCATCGCCCAGGAGCTCTATCACGACGGCGATCTGGCCTTGATTGCCAATGTGGGCTCGCTTTACGAGCCGATGACGCTGGCCGAGCATAAGTCAAAGGCCAAGAAAAGGCCCAAGTCGCTCTTCTCGCACAACGACCAGACGGCTATAGCCTTTACGTTGGATGCCTTGCTCTCTGGGGACCACACCGGCACCCTCGGCAGGATGATCGAGGCGCTGCGAAAGCGGCGCGAGGACCCCTTTGACGTCCAGGCCTACTCCATCTCGGGACAGGCGCTCATGCTCGAGACCGTCGAGACAAAGCCGTACATTCTCGCGGGCGGCGACCCGCAAGGCGTCGAGATGATGACAGACGACGACTATTACACCCCTCACCTACATGCGCTCACCGCTAACCACACGTCGTCGATCGTCGGCGAGACGGTCACGGTGGCCCTGCGTGGAGCCTTCGAAACAGCGGCCTCTCTCTCCGAGCAGATCGGCTCCGTGGTCCTGGAGAACAGCTTTGCGGACGACAAGCTCAGCGGCCAGGCCGAGCAGGTGGCGCGTGTGCTCCGCTCGATGGTGGAACACCCCGAGTTCGCCAAAGAGCGCGCGGCCTTCTACATTGAGGAGGGGTCCTTTGACGCGCACAATTCGGGCGAAATCACCGACGAGCACCTACTGAACGTCAACACGGCGCTCACCTCCCTGATTGCCGAGATCAAGACGCTCGGCCTCTGGAATAATGTCATCATCGTGACCGCGAGTGACTTTGGGAGGACAATGACGGACAACGGGCGAGGCACCGACCATGCCTGGGCGGGCAACCACTTTGTGACCGGCGGGCTGGTCACCGGCGGGCAGGTGCTCGGCCGCTACCCGTCGGTGCTCGACGAGCCGCTCTCCGAGGTGAACGTGGGGCGAGGCCGCTTCATGCCAACCACTTCATGGGAGGGCATGTGGTACGGCATCGCCCAGTGGTTTGGCGTGGACGAGGAGGAGATGCGCGATGTCATGCCAAACGTGGTCAACTTCCAGCCGGCGGATCTGATCCCGATGAGCGTCCTCTTCGATGAGGAGCCACCCTCGGCGCCTGCTCCGCCGCCGGATTCGCCCAAATCACCGCCCCCGCCACCTGTTGGCCCTTGCGAGGACCTCACGGAGGACAGGATATGCAAGGGGGACAGCTTCGCCAACCTGACGGCCCACACCTCCTTCGACGGCACCACCGCCAGCTGCCAAGCGGCGTGCGACGCCTTCTCGAGGGCAGAGAAGCAAGCCGGCTGCTGCAACTGGCGCGAAGCCTACACAAGCAGGGGCACCATGCTCCCCAACGAGTGCTTCTTCCACTTTGTCGTAAGTCCAAAGAATACAAAAGCCCAACGCAAGTCGTACGCCTCGGCGTGCTGTCCGCGTCTCAGCTCCGGCCGCTGCGCCAACCTTGACGTGACTGCTCCCGCGCCGCCGTCGCCGTCGCCACCGCCGCCTCCCTCGCCCGCGGCGCCACCACCGGAGCCCCCATCAGCCCCACCCCCGCCATCGCCACCGCCGCCTGGCTCCTGCGGTAACGAGTGCAAGAGCACAACGTGTCAGACTTTCGCGGTGCTCGAGTGTTCGCTGCTCCGTCACATGGGCTGTGACTGCGACGGCTGCTGCTCCAACTCCACGGCGGCGGGAGTGCAGTGCGCAGAGGGCACCGAGTGGTCCGAGCCCGACGCCGCATGCGTAATATCGTGCCCTAGCGACGCAAGCCGCTCTCTGGAGGAGGCCGCGCGCGAGTACCGTGCCGGGGAACCGCTTTTTCGGCTTCCGGCGCCCCCTTCAAGTGAGGGTGGGGGCGTCGGATCGTCCACCCTCGCCCGATTGCAGCACGGCCGCCGCCTCCTCGAGCCATGTCAGGACGCAGCCGTCGCCGAGCGCTGCGGCGCTGCGCCACCACCGATCTCACCCCCGCCCTCAACCCCAACGTCAACCTGCTCGGACGAAGCGGCCATGCGCCTTGTGCGCGACGCTGTCGAGGGGACCCTGGTCATCTACGTCGACTGCTACACGCCCGGCTTGGGCGCGGGAAGCATGATTGCGATGCCCGGCCACACCGACCCGTACGAAGTCGAGCGTCTCGGCTTGCCGTCTCGCCAGCGTCGCTTAGCGGACGGTCTGCCCATCACGCTCGCGACGCCGCTGACGGCCAGCACAAACGCTGGCGCCGCGATCGCCATACTAGCTCCACCGCCCTCCCCGTCCCTGCCTCCCGTCGCCGGCTCCGAGAAGGACCCGCACCTCCACTTTGCTCACGGCGGGACCGCTGACTTTCGCGGGCGGGACGGCGCGTACTACAACTTCTTCTCGGCGCCAGGCTTTTCCGTCAACGTCAAGACGGAAGATGCCACGTTCCGACTTCACGGTGGCAAGCTGACGGTCGACGGCTCCTTCATCACCGAGGTTCACGTCGTTGCGCGAGTCGGCGGGGCCAAGCGCAAGTGGGCCAACGCCTCGTGCTGGGCCGCCGAGTTCAACGAGTTCAACACCGGCTGGAAGTTAGTCAACGGGACCTGCGGGGGGGCTGGCGGCCACAGCCAGTACGCGTTTGGCCTGATGGGCTTGAAGATTTGCGAAGAGCTCACGATCCGAGTCGCGTACTCGCACGTGACGTTCAGCATCCCGGGGTGGACTGTCAAGGCGCGCGGAAACCACGTGTTCGACCGAATCCGAGGACCCGCGCACCGTCTCGACCTCTCCTTCATCGCCCGGGGCGACGCGCCAGCGCGCAGCTTGCCACACGGGCTGATTGGCCAGTCCTACTCCACGCCGGGCATGCGCGAAGGTGCGGTGGATGCGTATCCCGCACACGGCCGCATCGCCACCACCGCGCAGGCAGAGGGCGCCATCGAAGGGATTGCGGCCAACTATGAGGTCGGGTGGGCCCACGCCACCCATTTTGCCTTTTCTCGCTTTAACGGCGTCGAGGGTGTGTCGGCGGACCTCCCGACGGGAGGAGACGGCCAATCAGCGTCAGGCGCTTCAGCGGTCGGTCGGTGAGCTGGCTTGTGTGACCGCGGAGCGGCGTCCGGCGATCCCCCTTCGATTCTGCTGCGCTGGCTGCGCGCTGCATCGTGCATGCACTGTGCGCACACAAAGCGTCTAAGTTTTCATACGGAGATACGCGAGCCACGAAGTGAGAGACGAGATCGACATCGCATGACATGCACATGCATGCAAACTCCAGCTCCTCCGCCAATCATCGATGTAACGCCAGAGGAGAGACAGACACGGAGCGCATGCACATGTCGTAGAGAGAGAGAGGAGAGAGACGTCCTCTCACAAAAGCGAGAACAAGAGGGATCGCATCCTATCGGTCCTTCTTCTTCTCCTGTGTCTCCACAACGCTCGCGGCGCCGGCCGCGAACAGCGTCGGCCAGCGGCTGGGCTTCGCCTTGGCCATCGACACCTTGATGCTGCGCGGCTCGCCCTCCGCAGCGCCTGGGCGAGAGAGAGAGTGGGCTCGGGGCGCACGCACGGCGGCACGGGCGGCGAGGCGCGTGCGCGCGCCGACAGGCCAGAGCTGCCAGTGCGACTCGTCGACATTGATGGGTCGAAAGAGAGTCCCACTCAAGTACGGCTCCGGCTTCTCTCCTCGGATGGCGAGAGAGAAGCGCGTCGGCATGATCTCGCACTTGACGTCGTGGCTGACCCGTCCCTTGGGGAGCGGCACGCTCACCTGAGACGGGCAAGCGCGTGCCGATTGCGAGTGCGGCCACCGGCGCGAGCGCAGGCAAGGCGGCCGCACCTCGACCGCCTCCAAACTCTGGCACCAATCGATGTCCACAGACGACGACCCCCGCCGGCACAGCCTGGTCACCAGAAAGACGTTGAGCACGAGCAAGGCTAGGCTGAGTCCGCACAGCCCGAAGAGGATGTGGGGCTCCAGCCCCCCAGCGGCAGGAGGAGAGCCGTCAAGAGCAGACATTCGCGGTGTGAAAAGAAAAAAAATCCCTTCGCAGCATGTCGCAGCCGGTGACAGAGTCCAACTACCCTTCTCCAACTACCCCCACCCGAGGCGAGGAGGTCTGCGGGCCGCATGTCGCAGCCGGTGACAGACTGCGCGAGCGCGGGTGGCCCCCTCCCCGTCCTTGGGCTTGGCCGCCGGGCGGACGACCGGACCGCGGCTTGGCGCGGCGAGCGAGGCCGACCACGGGGATGGGGGCCGGTGAGGATGGATAGCGTTCGTGTTGTTGGGCTCATGAACGGGAGGGCGGCACCCCCCGGTGGCGCTCCGGCCGGTGTGCGCTTGGGCACGTGGAGTTCGGCCGTGGCGAGGTAGTGCTTAACAACACCCGGACCGTCATCTTGCTCCTCATTTGCTTTGGAAGCTGACTCGGCGATCTTTTCCAGGATCTCATCCCGGATCTTCTTGCTGTAGCACAGCTTCGGGTTCTTGTACCAGCAGTGCTTGATGTGGTGGTCCTTGCCACAGACCTCACCGTTTCGTCGCGCACCGAAACCGGAGGAGCGCCTCCGCCCTCACCACCCAGGGCGAGATGGAGGTGGCAAAGTTCTTGGCGCCGAAGGGGCCGAGCGGCACGTACTCGAACTTTTGCACGTCGCGCGCCGTTAATAACCTTCACACACACACACACACACACACACACACACACACACACACACACACACACACACACACACACACACACACACACACACACACACACACACACACACACACACACACACACACACACACACACACACACACACACACACACACACACACACACACACACACAGTAGGTAGGTACACAGAGAGAGAGAAAACAAGAAAAATCCCCGCACTCAATGGCCACCCAGGCAACCCTGACCACCCAGGAGGCGCTCAGAGAGGCACTCGCGACGGCGGGCTGGCCTCTCTCTCTCGCCGACGACGCCAGACGCCCCAACGTCTTATCGACGCCGCGAGAGTTCGTCGAAGCGCTCTGCACAAGTGCGCACGTTGACACGCTCTTCGTGCTCCCCGGCGGCGTGAGCTTGCTGGAGCAGGAGGAGGCGCTGCCTCGTGAGCTCCGCGAGGCCGTGCAGCAGCAGCCGACGGTGCGGAAGATGCTGGACTCGCTTCCTGATGAGATGCTGTGTCGGCTGCGGGGCCGCGTCTACCTCTGCGGCGGGGGCGAGGAGGAGGAGCTCAAGGAGGGATCGGACGGCGAACGGCTCGTCTCGCTGCTAGACAAGCGGGACGCCCTCAGGCAGCGCTGCGCCGAAGCAGGCGGCGGCGGCGGCGGCGATGACAGCGGCGAGGAGGATGGCTGCGGCGAGGAGGGCGGCGGCGGCGGCAGTGGCAGCGGCGGTGGCGGCGGCGGCAGCGGCAGCGAGCCCCGTGCCTACCTTGGGGAGGTCCGCTGGGGCCAAAAGTACCGCCACCCGGTCGGCGGCTCGTGGGTCAAGACTCTGTGTGCGGTGGACGTCAAAGACTACGTCGGGGCTGGGAGGAGCGACGCGCTGCCGTACTACGACCGGTACGACGAGGGCGTCTTCGTGGGGGGCCGCTTCTCAGGCTCGCCACTCCACGTCGACCAGATCGGCTGGTCCAACGTCGGCAAGAACTTCAGCGGCCGCAAGCTGCTCGCGGTCTGGCCGCACGGAGAGGCGACCGCCGACCTATTCCGGCAGCACTGCTACCGGCTCTTCACGCCGCCGCTGCAGCCCGCCGAGGAGGCGGCGCTCGCCGCCGCGTGCAAGGTCGCCCTCCTCACGCCCGGAGACGTGGTCCTCTTCTCGGGCGCCAACGCACATATGGCGCTCTCCGTCTCGGCCTCGCTCTCGCTCACGGCGTACGAGAGTTTCGTCAACTTCCACCCGCGGAGCGTGGCGGCCTTTCTCGAGTCCGGCACGGAGAGGCAGTACCGCGAGTGCCGCGCGCGTGCCCGCATGGTCGAGGAGGTGAAGGAGGAGGTGGTCGAGGCGATGCTCGACCTCAAGGCGGACCTGGACAACGGCCGCGTCTCGGACCCGCTGCTGCTCGCGCACGCCCCGCCCGCGCTGCAGGCGCTGAAGCGGGACGCCTTCATCGCGGGCAGGCTCAAGGAGGCCGCGCGCCTGGCGGACGCCGCGGGCGAGCACGGCGGCGAGAATGACGGCGGTGCGCCCGAGCAGCAGCAGGGCCGGCCGCGCAAGGCGGCGCGGCTGCAGGACGCCTCCCCGCTAGGGCAGTCGGCCCAGCCGGCCGACCCGAGGGGCGAGAGGGGCGACCGGGAGTAGGGGGCTAGCTAGGGGAGTCGCATCTGCCACGGGGCTGGGGCCGTGACCCGTGAGGCCGCTGGCGCGAGGCGCAGATGTCTGAGGAGGAGGATTCGACGTAGTCGTAGAGAGGTGAACCCGGGGTAGGTAGGTGCATGGAAAGAAAAGCTGGTCGCATAGGACCAGGCTGAAGGAGAAAGCGGATACATATAACACGAACGACAACGCACACTCTCACATTACAAGGGACATTCTGCAACAGTGCAGTGAGGAGTTCAGGCCGGGGCCCGAGCCCCTAGGGCGACAAGACATGCGCATAGGGCTGAAGGACAGAAGCCCGACCTTGCAGCAGAAAGAAAGAAAGAAAACGCAGCAGAAGTCGCGGAATTTCTTCTGGCGACTGCTCACCACTGAGAATTGTTGATCCCTCAGCACCACAGGCCGGAGTGCAGGCATGCAGGCGAGCTCGACGCTACTGCCTGCTGTCGCGGCGACCGCGCTCGCCGTCGGCTACCTTCTCGGCCGGCACAGGAAACGGACCGCAGGGCTCGGCGACTTTTCCAAGCGCAGGTTTGGCGCCTGGTCTGTCCGAGCTGCAACCTCGGCGGACATAGCAGCCGTGCACGCGCTCGTCCGCGAGCTTGCGGCTTTCGAGAAGCAGCCGGACGCCGTGCTGCTCTCGGTCGAGGAGATGCAGGCCCACCTCGAGGCAGGCGCCTTCGAGTGCCTCATCCTCGAGCCTGCGAGCAAGGCCTTCCTCCAGCCCAACACGCCGCCCTCCGGCTACGCGATCGCCTTTCCGACGTACAGCACGTGGGAGGGGCCGTGCATGTACCTGGAGGACCTGTACGTCGCGCCCGCCGCCCGCGGCCAGGGCGGCGGTCAGGCGCTGCTGCGTGCTATCGCGGCCCTCGCGGCCAAGCACGGCTCTGCGCGGCTCCAGTGGCAGGCGCTGGACTGGAACACGAAGGCAGTAGAGTTCTACCAGTCCGAGAACGTCGGTGCGCGCGAGCGGGTCGAGCCGGACGGCGCCAAATGGCTCAACTTTATCCTGACGCGTGACCAGGCGCTTGCCTGCGCCCGCGCCACCTCTTGCGGCCCTCCTCTCTCGCTGCAGCACTCCGCATCCCCGCCCGCAGGTGCGCAAGCTTGGCGGGGTCTCATCGCGCGCCCTGTGAGCACCAAGCGCGATCCGTGGCATGTAAGAGTTGGGCGCCCAGGCCCAGACGTCGCCGGCTTTCCGCGCCGGGGCTGTGACTTGTGCATGCTTGTCGGCGGAGCACTGACTGGTCCCGGGGTGGGGGAGCAACAGCCGCCTTAGGAGAGCGGCCCGGCCGCCAGGACATCTCAGGTTCGCCGTGTTTATTTTTATTTTACAACGAGTTGTTTCAACTGCGGATCATGCACCGACATGTGTGTGCAGATCGCGTGTGCACATCTGACTAGTTGCAAATACGGGTGCTCGTGTGTGGACCAGTTTTATCTTTTTTTTTCCGTGTTGCTCCCCCAGCGCCCTCGCCCGCGCTCCCTGAGGCCATGGCTGGTGCTACTAGTATGGGGGGCTACCTGGCTACCGCGAGAGCGACCCAACTCGTCGACATCGTCCGATGATGGTGCCTCAAAGTCAGCCTCCGGAGCGGCTATCGTTGCGTCGAGCCGGCGGTGGCCGTGACATGTGGTTCCACCGCCCCTCGCAGGCTTTGCCTCTGACCGCCACCGTTCCCAGGCTGTCTAATGGGATGGAAAGGAAGGCTGGGCGAGCGTATAGAAGCGTGATCGACCTCGACGTGGCAGCCTGCACGGCAGCGCTGGCAGGCGCGATGAGCGTCGTGCCACCTGACCCGAGACGGGTCGCAGGCGTCGTACCGAGCGCGCCGAGACCGTGTCCTGATGCGCTCTGCACGGGTGAGTCACGTCGGCGTCAAAGGAGCGACGTGTGACCTGTCAGAGCTTGATCTCCGATCTCAGCGACGTCGAGTCGCCTTCGGTGGTGGTCTCAGCTAGGATGCATCTCCTCCGTCGTTTTTTGCGCGATGGCCCTGAGAAGCTGGCGCCGCACGCAGGCGGACCTTGTGTATGCGGCGAACGCTTAAAAAGTGGTGCTCTACGTCACATTTTTTGAGTAGATAGTGCCGAGCTGGCCGTGACAGCATTTTTGGTATACATATGTAGTTTTTGTGCTTTTTCCACGTGAGACTTTTTGCAACTACGGTACGGAACTAGTCATCTGGGGCTAAACGCGGGACCGGACGCGACTCGCGAGAGGAGCGGAGAGCGAGGTATCGCGCCCCACCCCTAGTCTAGCGGAAATTTTCGGTGTATCGTGAATGATCGCCGAGTATCGCCTAATATCGCCGAGTGTCGCCGAGTATCGCCTAATATCGCGCAATATCGCGCACCCTCGCGGCTCGCGCGGCACCCCTCGCCCTTGCGGGCGGGCGGCAGGCAGGGGTGGGCTAGGCTCGCTCGGCGAGGGCGAGCCAGCGCTCCTCTGTGTCCGCCACCTTTGCCTGCAGCGTCTCGAGCTCCGCAGTCCAGTCTTGCAGGTCGCTGTACCCGTCGCGCGCCGCATCGAAGGTGTTGATCCGTTGCTGCAACGCCGCCTCGGCGTCGCCCAGCGCCGCTAGCTCCCCCTCGAGAGAGGCGAGGCGTCGCTCCTCGAAGGCCGACAGCGCCTTTCCCGCCGCGGGCTCCGACGCCTGCGGCTGCGGCGGTGCTGGCGGCGGCGGCGGCGCTGACGGCGCGGCGGCCGCACGCTGCTGGTCACGCGTGCTGCCGGTAACACGCTGCTTGTCTTGCAGCCGCTTCCACTCGACCCATCGCGTGAACGAGTCTGGCCACCGGCGCACGTCGCCATCTCCTCCGAGGACAAAGAGCTGCGAGCAGACCTGCGGGCAGGTTCCGGGAGCCTGCTCAGGGGAGGCTGTGGACCTCTCGACGAGCTGCGAGGAGGCCTTGTCGACGAAGTAGCGGTCGTGCGAGACGACGACCAGCACGCCCTGGAAGGCGAGCAGGAAGTCCTGCAGGCAGGCTCGGGGAGAGGTGCTATGAGAAGCGTGCAGCGGCGACGCGCTCTGAAGGGGAGCGGCTCCTCCAGCACGGCGAGCGTGTCGAGGTCGAGGTCGTTCGTCGGCTCGTCGAGCAGAAGCACGTTCGGCTCCTTGGCGAGCACAGACAGCAGCTGCAGCCGCCGCCGCTCTCCGCCAGACAGCCGCCCGACGGGGGTCGCCCACCGATGCTGCGGGAAGAGGAACTGGCGGAGCAGCTGCCCCGCGCGCCGCTCCGCCTCGTCGCCGCCCAGCCGGCCTCCCTCGCCGCGCTGCGCCTCGTGCCCGTCCGCCACCGCCTCGCGCACGAAGGCGAGCACCCGCTTCTCGCCGTCGTCCACCTGCAGGCCCTCCTGCGAGTAGTGCCCGTACACCACCTGGCAGCAGCCACGGGCACGGGACGGATGCGACGACGAGGTGCAGCACAAGGCGGACACACACTCCCTGCGGACAGCAGCCGTGCGGAAGCACCGCCACATCTCGGCTAGTCTCTGGCCATCCCGGGTAATCTCGGCTCCGTCTCGGAAGCACCGTCTCGCCCGCGACGACGCGGCCGCCCTCGAGCGGCAGCTGCTGCAGCACCGCGAGGAGGAAGGAGGACTTGCCCGCGCCGTTCGGCCCGACCAGCCCGATCCGGTCGCCGCGCGAGAAGTCGTAGCTGAAGCCGGAGAGGACGTTCCTCTCGCCGCGCGTGCAGCTCGCCGCCTCGAAGCGAAGCACCGACGTGCCGAGCCTAACCGTGCAGCACCGAGCTCAGGGTCTCAACACGGTGCTAACCGTCAAGCACCGAGCTCAGGGTGTCAACACGGTGCTATGCAAGGCAGCACCGCGTGCATGCAAGAGCTACGTGCATACAAGAGCTACGTGCATACAAGAGCTACGTGCATACAAGAGCTACGTGCATACAAGAGCTGCGAAGACCGTTGCAACATCGGGATCGTTTGTGTTCCGCATTCTATGACGCCGAGCCGCTGCATGCCCGCCTCGAGCTCGACGGCCTGCGGCGGCGGCGGCGCGGCGGCGACCGTCGCTGCAAGGCCCTCGAAGCGCTCGAGGCGGCTCTTCGACTTTGACTCGCGCGCCTTCGGGTCAGGATTGCGGCCAGGGTCAGGATTGGGGCCAGGGTCAGGATTGGGGCCAGGGTCAGGATTGGGGCCAGGGTCAGGGCGGTGGATAGAGTTCGGGCTCGGGCTCGGGGTGGGCCCTCTGACTCGCGCGCCTTGGGCTGCTTTCGCACCCAGGCGAGCTCCCTCCTGTACAGATTGCGCGCCGCTGCCGCCTGCTGCCCCTGCGCCTCCAGCCGCGCCTGATCGCAGAGAGACGCTTAAGAGAGGTCCTCCCTCTGTCCTCCCTCCTCCTCGGCCCTGCCTCCTCGGCCCCGCGCCTGCTTTGCCTCGATGAAGTCCTCGTACGAGCCTCGGTGCCTCCAGAGAGAGGAGCCGTGGAGCTCGACGATCTCGCGCGCGACCGCGGAGAGGAAGGCGCGGTCGTGCGTGACGAGCAGCACCTGGAGGGACACGTCCTGGACGCGTCACCGACGCACCTCGACACGGAGGCGGCGCGGTCGTGCGAGGAGAGCCGCGCCGCCGTGTCTCGCAGAGAGGAGATCTCCGCCTCGAGCCAGCCGATGCCTAGAAGGTTCCTAGAAGGTTCCTGGAAGGTTCCTAGAGGAGATCTCCGCCTGTGCCAGCCGATGCCCGAGATGTCGAGGTGGTTGGTCGGCTCGTCGAGCAGGAGCACCTACGCCAACCGCAGGGAGCGACAATCGCAATCGTGTCGCGCATGTCGGTTGGTCTCTCATTCTAGCTGCGGCACACGTCTGGCTTGGCCAGCAGCGCCGCCGCGAGCGCGAGTCGCTTGCGCTGCCCGCCCGACAGCGACGTAGCCTCGGAGCGGAGGAGCGAGCGCACGTTGAGCCGCTCGCACAGCTTGCGCATCTCGCTCTCCAGCGCCCACGCGCCGCTCGCGTCCATCGCGTCGCTCGCGCGCTGTAGCCGCGCCGCCACACCCTCGCCGCCACCCGTCTCAACCTCCGCTGCTGCTGCGCTAAACTCGCGCAGCGCCGCGAAGCCGGGCAGCTCCGAGCCGTAGAAGAACTCTTCAGCCAGCGCTCCGTCGGGGAGGGTCGGGTCCTGCTCGACGTACGCGAGCTGGACGTCGCGGCTTAGTTTGACGGAGCCTCTCTCGGGAGCATCGGCGCCCACGAGAACCTTGAGCAGGCTGCTCTTGCCGACGCCGTTGGAGCCGACGAGGCCAACCTTGGCGCCGCGCGCCAGTGAGAGCTCGATGTCGCGGAACGGGTAGCGCTGGCCATCGAACGTCTGCGCGAGGCCAGTCGCCACAAGCAACACCTCACCACCTTCGGCTGGCACCTCTTGTGGCTGCTGCATGTACGGCGCCAGCTGACAGCTACGCAATGGTGTGCGTGTTGGCCGATAGGTGAGCGCCGCGAGTAGTAGCATCCTCGCAGCGAGTAGACTGAGTGAGCGGAGGCACGCACGCAGCACGCGCGTCGCTGCGAGCGGTGAGCCGCGCTTCTCTTTTTCGAGGTGGATATCCTTTGGCTGCGTTGGGTAGCGAGGATTGGTGTGACCATGGCTGCATTGGTTCTCGCCGAGCATGAGCGCACTGGTCTGGTACGTGGTGCGCGCAATGCGCGGGGAGGGCGGCCTAGCCTTCGCCGGCATGGCAAAGATGGCGTCGGGCGGGCGCCTGTTTGTTCTCCAGCGTCTGGCGCCAGGCCGAGCGATCGGCGGCGAGCCCTCGGTCGGGCCACCTCGAGCGGTCGATGTGGAACTTGTCGAGCGCGGTGCGGATGCTGCGCCCAGACGTCATGTTGGGGCACCCGATCGGCCGGCCGTGAGGCACCCACGTCCCACGATGAGAGCATGCGACGAGGTAGGCGATCGAAATCCATCCTGCTGACATGCCGCCGAGCCAGCCCAGCCGGCGTCGGTCGATGTAGTAGTCGATGAAGTCGAGACCTAGCCTGGTGTGGTGCAGAGTTCGCCAGTCGTGATGGTGCTCCCACACGTGCTTGCGAGTGAGAGCGGCTTCGACCTTCGTTGTTAATAATACGAACTTTTCTCTTTTTTGTGAGCTGTGAGTCATATTATTGAGCTTTGAGGCACCCCTCTTTTTTGCCTGTGTTTATGCCAGCACGCTGCACGCGCCTGTCGCAAAAAAACAGACAACCAACCCAAAAGCACCCAAGGGAGGGTTGGGAGGACGCGGCGCCTGTGCCTCAGCCCGTGTGGCCTGTCGCAATTTGGAGCACTTGGAGAGTTGGAGTGCAGTCATCAGCCTCACATCCAGGGCCGGGGAGCTAAAGAAAAGCGCACCCAGAGCGCGGGCAATGAAGTTTTTTCTTTCCACTTTCCGTAAAAATTCTTCTTTCAGGCAGCTCTCGCGAGGGGAACACAAAAAGAATAAAGACGACGGTGAGCCTCAACACGGTGAGAAAATTTATTAATTAAGGGACATCAAAAAATCGCGCGTCAGTGGTCAGAGCTCCTGCTTGGGACCACTGCTGCTATCGCTGCTGCTTCTACTGCTCGGCCTTGCGGCCCTCTCCTGCAGCGTCACGAAACGCATCTCAGCGTTGCCCATCTGCACAAACGCGTCGTCGAACCCGTGCGGCCGCAGCAAGTGCGAGAGGAAGACCCAGTGGGAGACGACGGCGATCTCGGGCTCCGGCCTACGGGCACGTCACGGACGTGAGGAGGAGGACCCAAGGCACCGCCAAGCCTCGCCCTCGCGCCTCCGCCACAACCACGCCAGCAGCCTCCCCGCGCGGGCACCACACGCGGTCGAGTTCATCCCGTCCGGCTCTACCTCCTTGTGCTCCCACATCTCGTCGGCGCCGTCGGCCACCTCGCTGAAGTCGACATGCGGGAACTCCCCCTCCAGCGCCACGCGCTCGCGCCGCCCGTCGCAGCTGTGGTTCCCGATCCTCTCCCGGGCGAGCGAGGTGGCGACAAAGGGAGGGCGGACGAGGGGAGCACGACCGGCCGCCGGCTCGGGGATGTCCGGGAAGGCTAGCGAGGCCGTCTGCAGGGTGCGGGTCATCGGCGACACCGCAACCAGCTGTGGCGAGCCGACCTCCTGCCGGAACTGCAGCTTGCCGGCCAGGAGCCGCGCCTGCTGCTCGCCCTCCGGCGTGAGCGGCGAGTCCCAGTACGCGGCGGTGTGGCCGAGACCGTCGGTGAAGTAGTTTGGCATCTGCCTGGCGTCGCGGTTGTGCAGCGCCTCCGCGTGCCGGATCAGCGTCAGCCGCTTGGCAGCAGAGCCAGGCGGCCGCTCGGGCCAGCCGCGGACGAGCTCGAGGTCTGCCTCGGCGGAGGAGGCCGAGAAGCGCAGCAGGAGCAGCAGGGAGGAGCGGCGGCGCAGCGACATGCACCGAGTCTGGCTTTCTTCGCAGAACGCAGGCCTTTTTTTAGCGCAGGGTGGAGCAGCGGTGGAGCGAGAAATAGCCCGACTTGCGCCGGATTTAGAGCGCCGGCGAACGAGCACTGACAAGGCGTCGAAGTGCTTCGTGGCGGGCACACTGGGCTCACAAAAAGAATTTTCTGGCCAGCAAAACAGTGGGCACGGGACTGGCGGACAGGTAGTGGGGAAGGCAGCCTCGATTGCCATACAGACATGGGTGCGAAACAACGACAAGACCAAGGCACGGGCAGAGGAACGAGAGAAGAATATAGGGTGGATAAAGCGCCTGTTCACGGCATGGAGGGTGAGCCACACCGAACGTACCGAGCGAAGGGCCGAGCGGAAGGAGGACGGGGAAGATGACTCAGAGGAGGACGAACCAGTGGAAATTCAGTTGTCAGATGTCACGATGCATCCGAAGGGGACCCCAGCGCCAGCATCATCCGTAGAGGCACGAGTGTTCGAAGAGAGAGTGGACCTGAGCAACAACATGACGTGTAGGCAAATGATCGGAGTGGGAGTCAGAAATGTGGTCCTTGCGCGAGGGGAGCTTGATAGACTCGAGGGGCCAGGATACGCCGCGAGGAGGACGGAGTTGCGCAAGGCGAAAGAAGCCGCGAGAACAAGGGACCGGCAGGCGGCGGCGTCGCAGGACGAGGCAGAAGAGAACGACGCGACAGAGGAGGAAGTGACAAGGGAGAGACCGACGAGAGTGGGACGGCCGCGAGGTGGCATGAAGGTTGCAGCGAGAAGCGGCGAGAGACTGCGAAAAGAGATACGAAGAGGCAGACTCCCCAGGGTGGGCGACGGCTAGCGCACCACACTCCTCTCCTTAAAATCCCTGTGTGGTGGCGGCGTGCCGTTCTCCCATCCCTCCCTTGGGTTGTGTGTTTTCTTTCTTTCTTTCTTACGGGACTGGCGGCGTGCCGTCCTCCCATCCCTCCCTTGGGTTGTCTGTTTTCTTTCTTTCTTTTTCGGGACTGGCATCCGAAGGGGACCCCAGCGCCGGCATCATCCGTAGAGGCACGAGTGTTCGAAGAGAGAGTGGACCTGAGCAACAACATGACCTGGAGGCAAATGATCGGAGTGGGAGTCAGAAATGTGGTCCTTGCGCGAGGGGAGCTCGATAGACTCGAGGGGCCAGGATATGCAGCAAGGAGGGCGGAGCTGCGCCGAAAGGCGAAAGAAGCCGAGAGAACAAGGGAACGGCAGGCGGCGGCGGCGCAGGACGAGGCAGAAGAGAATGACGCGACAGGGAGGAAGTGACAAGGGAGAGAACGACGAGAGTGGGACGGCCGCGAGGTGGCATGAAGGTTGCAGCGAGAATCGGCGAGAGACTGCGAAAAGAGATAGGAAGAGGCAGACTCCCTAGGGTGGGCGACGGCTAGCGCATCACACTCCTCTCCTTAAAATCCCTGTGTGGTGGCGGCGTGCCGTCCTCCCATCCCTCCCTTGGGTTGTCTGTTTTCTTTCTTTTTTACGGGACTGGCTCACAAAAAGAATTTTGTCACTCGCACAACAGTGGGCACGGGACTGGCTCACAAAAAGAATTCTCGGGTCGAGCGGCAGCGCCGCTCGGAGGGTCGCCTGTGTGACGCTGCTGGGTGAGTGAACGGAGGCCGGCCGCTCGGCTTTTTCATTTACTCAGGCAGCACCACATAGCACATTCCTTCACACTGCTGTGAATACGTCCCGAACCCAAACAGAGAACGAAGGGAGGAAAGAGCGGGGCGGGGTGCGCACTGTAAAAACGACACCTCTCTACTGTGAGATGGGTAAAAGGGATCAAGGTCCCCGCCCTTGCGATCTTTGTGCAGGGTTCTTTGGACTTTGCATCTCGAACTCCAGGTGGTCGATGTCCCCGAGCGTGGTCGCCTCATCGAAGGTGCCGGTCTCCGTCTCGCGCCGGAGGAAGTAGTTGACCTCGTGGGAGAAGCCCGGGATCTTCTTGACGACCTGGTCCAGGATCTGTAGCAGTCGTGGGAGGTAATGAGTGGGAGGTCCGCCGATGGCTGCCAGTAGCGTGTTGGGGGGGGAGAGATCCGACCAGGGGCGAACTATGTCGCGCGCACCTTGACGAGGTCTTTGGGGTGGACGATGTACCCCCTGATCTGGTACTGCACGTTCGACCAGCCCGGAGCGCGCGCATAGTTCTTGTTGGGCCGCTCCATGTCGCGCTTGTCCTTCCACGTCTCACCCTGAAAGTCGAGAATCCGGTTCCGCGTCACATGCTGCGGCAGGTACGTGTTGATGCACCCCTGCGCGTCGGCCATCTCGTACATGCCGGCCTGGAGCGCGTCCTACTCCGACGGGAACTGGGGATCAGGACGGGCCCAGATGGGGAAGGGGAGGGGGGGAGGCTCACACCCGCAGCTCGTAGCCCATCTCGACGAGGGCGACGCCGGTCAGCATGACGGTCACGCTCACTTGGTTCTGAAGGAGGCGCAACGCGGGGTCAGGAAGGTGAGAGAGGGCGGCCGTGTAGCGGGAGCGCACCTCCTCGACGATCGTCTCGCCGAACTTGGAGTCCTTGAGCTTCTTGGACGCCTTGCCCGGCGTCTGGTTGCCGCCCGGCGTCTCCGCCATTTCGCCCTGTGTGGACAGAGGTGCGTGGGGCGATTCAGGAGTGCCTGGGACGGCGGTGCAGTATGGGGGCTGCAGGGCTGCTCACGAAGTACGCGCGTCCCTTCTGCGGGGTGCTCAACCCGTGACGAAAAACGAACGCACACCAAGCGCTAAGCGTGAGGACACGATTTCGAATTCGTAGGAGCATCTGAGCAAAATTGAGCCCGCTCAGGTGTGAACAAAAAATATAAGGGTCGAACAGCGAACAGGTTTCGAACTGGGGACCTCCCGCTAGCGGGAGGGAAGGCTCCGAGCAAGAGACACTGCGATTGAAAGGAGATCTCCGTTCAGAAAACCTACTAGTATGTAGCATACCGGAGGCAGGGCAAGCGGGGGCGGGGGGCAGTCCCCCTGGTCTGATACTGGGGGTCTCCAGTCTCGGAGGGGGGCAAAAAGATAAGAATATCTGTTTTTTTTGAATGTACGTACTTTTAGCTTACTGGGCGAAGAGGGAGAGGGGGTTGTGCTCTCTAGGCCCCAAAGGGCCCTACGCGCGGCGTCAGACGAGCTCGGAAGCGAGCTTTGCACGGCGATCGAGGATGGCGCGGTTCACCCCCTTTTCCACACCCGGCTGCTGACACATACGACATACCAGAACCCTTAGGCTAAGCTGCTGACACATACCAGACCCTTACAACATCTCTCGGCCAGTACAACATGATGCTGTTGCTGCATGCTGGAGGCTGTGTGTCAGCAGCAAAGGTTCTGGTCGTGAATTCCTGTCAGCAGCTATAAGCGGCGGGGTGTCAGCAACAGCACTACACTTTGTGTGTTGCACTGTACTGGCCTGGATGGCCAGCGGCAGCACGCCCCCCCCCCCCTCCAGCCCGGCGCACCCCGGGTAGCCGGCCGGCCCCGCGCGAAAGATTGCTAAAAAACCGAAAAAGTAAAAGAGCCAGATGCAGTTACTTTTTAATTTTGTGAAAAATCCTCTCGACCAGAATATAATACAGCGAGCCGCGCGCCTCAGAACAACGCACATGCATCCCCCATCAAAAGCAATACAGAAACCACAGAGACGGCGACAAACTTATTACTGTGGCAAGTTGAGCGCGTCCGCCCCGCGTCCTGACCAGCGTGCGCAGTGGACAAAGATCTCGCCTGACGCCCCTTCCGATCGCGTCGCTGCGACCAAGGCGCATGGCGTCTGAGGTAGACCTAGACGCAGCCGATCGTGCACCGCCATCCGCTCGGGAGCCTGCTATCCCGGCCCTGCCCTGCCTGGCGGCATACTATCCCCCGCTCCTCCGCCTCCAGCGCGGCTAAAGCCGCGCTCAGAAGGAGCCCTTGGGCTGGAAGCCGGCGGGCCCGGCCTCGCCGCCGATGGCCGCCGCGGCGATCTTGTCGGCGCACGCCAGCCGGATCCGCTCGCTCGTGGCGGGCGAGTACATCTCGAGGTGCGCGTCGGCGGCGTCGGGGAAGTGCGAGGCGCGCGCCGCGCGCACCGCGTTGCGCACCTACCGCCACCAGCGCGCGCGTGAGGGTGCGGTGGGCGGCTCTGTGGCGTGCGGCCGCGAGCCGCGCGCGCCGCGAAGAAGACCGACGCGCCGAGGAAGAATGGCGGCTCTCCCACTGCCTTTGAGGAGTGCACCGCGACGGGGTTGTCTGCGCCGGAGAGGAGGCGCACGTTGAAGGTGCGCGGCGCGTCGTTGAAGGCGGGGAGCTTGTACCCGCCCGGGCCCGAGTTGAGTAGCTTGCCCTGCGGCCGCACCCACGGGTGCTGCTCGTCGCCCCAGATGAGCTCTTCGGTGGTGGTCCAGCCGGCGCCCTGCACAAAGGCGCCCTCGATCTGGCCGACGTCGAGCGCCGGGTTGATCGAGGAGCCGAGGTCGAGCAGCACGTCGGCGCGCAGGACGGCGTGGTCGCCGGTGAGGACGTCCACCTCCACCTCTGCCACGGCGCACCCCTGCGTGAAGTAGTTGAACGGGTGGCCGCGCGTCGTCTGGTCGGGCGTGCCGTCGGCGTGCTTGCCCGGCTGGATGGCCCAGTCGAAGCCGCACCGCTCGTCCGAGATGGAGAAGAAGCCGTGCGCGGAGAGGTCGATCCGGTCGAGCCACGCCGTCAGCGCGAGCTCCGCCAGCGACGCGCCCGGCCCGAGCTTGTTCCGCACCGGCTCGAGCCGCTTGAGGATCTTGCGGCACGCGTCGAGCGTCGCCATGCCGTACAGGTCGGTCGAGGCGGAGGCGGCGGTCGGGATCGAGTTCGCAACCTTGTCGGAGGCGCTCTCGGCGACGTGGCAGGCGGAGAGCGGCACGCCGAACGCCTTGGCCGCCACCTGGCACACCTTTGTGTGCAGGCCCTGCCCCATCTCGGTGCCGCCGTGCGTGATGAGCACCGTGCCGTCTGTGTAGACGTGCACGAGCGCGCCGCCCTGGTTCATGAACTTTGCGGTGAAGTTGATGCCGAACTTGGTGGGCAGCATGGCGACGCCGCGCTTGCGCCAGCGGTGCGCCGCGTTGAAGGCGGCCGCCGCCTCGCGCCGCGCCTCCACCTCGGCGCCCTCGCGCAGCTCTCGCCACGCACGCGGCACGCGCCACTCGCCGGCGCAGAGCACCTGCCCGAACGGGAGCGCGTCGCCCTCGGCGTACATGTTCGCCTCGCGGAGCGCGTCGGGCGGCACGCGCAGCTCCGTCGCGAGGTGCTCCAGGATGTGCTCGCACGCGATGAGGCCCTGCGGGCCGCCAAAGCCGCGGAAGGCCGTGTTCGGCGGCGTGTGGGTGCGGCAGACGACGCCACGCGCGCTGAAGGCGGGCCAGCGGTAGCAGTTGTCGAGGTGGAGGAGGGCGCGGTCCATCACGGGGCCGGAGAGGTCGAGGAAGGCGCCGCCGTTCGAGTAGAGCTGCGCCTTGAGGGCGGCGAGCTTGGGCACGCCCTTGCCGTCCCGCCTCGCCGCCGCCGTGTACTTGACCACGAACGGGTGCCGCCCGCCCGTGGTGCCCATGTCGACGTCGCGCCGCAGCGCGAGGCGGACGGGTGCGTTCACCTTGTAGGCGGCCGCCGCGCACGCCGCCGCCACGAAGGCGGTCCGCGTCTCCTTGCCGCCGAAGCCGCCCCCCATCCGGCGAACCTTGGAGACCACCTTGGCGGCGGGCAGGTTGAGCAGCCGGGCGACCGTCTTGTGCGTCTTGTCGACGCCCTGCGGTGGGTGCGCCGCGCCGTCAGCGCCTCGGCTAGCCCCTCGGCTGTGCGCTCGGCCGTAGTCTCGGCATCACTTTACCCGCAGTGCTATCGAGTGTGCTCTCCAGCATGCCCTCGCCTGAGTCGAGGAGAGGACCGAGATGCCGCCGTCGTCTGTCGGCTCGGCGAGGCACGTCATCGGCTCGAGGTAAAAGTGCTCCTGCCCGCCCACGCGGAACTCGCCCGACACGACGGTCAGCCCCTCCTCGGCGAACGCCTCGTCGATGTCGCGGCCCGCCTCCAGGTCGTGCGCCGTCGTGATGCCGAGCGCGGCGCCGGTCCGAGACCACGACGTGCGCTCGTCGCCGCGCGTGCCGTCGAAGAAGGATCCCGCCGCCACCGCGGCATCGATGGTGTAGATGGGGGGCTCCCACGGGTCGCCGTACTCGACGGCGACCGCCTCCGCCGCCGCGCGAGCCGCCTCGATCGAGTCGGCCACCGCCACGCCGATCACCTGTGCGTCAGGGCGCAGCCTCGGGCCATCTCGGGCCATCTCGGGCCATCTCGGGCCATCTCGGGCCATCTCGGGCCATCTCGACTCGTCTCAGCCCGTCTCTGTCCCTCTCGGCTCATCTCTGTTGAGGGCGGCTGATGTCTCGCCGGGCATCAGCTGATGTCTCGCCTGCCCCACGTGCGAGGCGTGCCCGTCCGCGAAGCACTCCTCATCCTTTGCGACCGGACCGAGCGCATTCTGCCCGCCGGGCGGGAGGTCGGAGGCGAAGATGACGTCCGCCACGCCCGGCATCGCGCGCGCAGCCGCGGCGTCGATGCGCAGGATTGAAGCGGGCGCCACCGTCGCCCGAACCAGCCACGCGTGCAGCATGCCAGCGGGAGGGCGGACCTGTGAGCAACCGCGGGCGGCGCTGGGCACGTAGGCGGGCGGCGTGTCGCAAGTGCGCCTCCATGTGCGAGTGGGCTGGCGGGTGGACGCACGTCGTCCGTGTACTCGGCCTCGCCGGTCGTGTGGAGCCGGCCGGCCGCGTGCGGGTGCGACTCCCCGACGACACGCACGCGATCCGAGTCGGCGCCTGCGGGTCGTGTCATGGGACAGGTCAAGGACACAGTCCAGGAAAACGCTGACGCTGTGCGAGGAAACGCGCCGCTCGAGCCCTTCGGCGCGAGACCGCCGTCGCCGCCGCGCCGCGCCTCCTTCTCCGACGCGGTGGGCGGCTCGATGGCGCGCGGCCCCTCGATGCCCCACGCCGTCTTGCCGCCCGGAGACTGCGACTCGAGGCCGGGGTAGGACGCGTGCGGGAACCGCTGCTCGCCGCCCGAGGCCGGCTTTGGCTCCTCGAGCCACGACACGGCCGCGGACGCGTCCGCCTCGGCGACGAGGGGGGGCGGAGGCGAGCCGACGGGCGCGACGGTCGCGAGCGACGCCGAAGTCGCGACGAAGAACTTGAAGAGGAAGGAGCCGGCGAGGGCGGTGCGGTACTCTGGTTGGCCGCCCGGCGCGTCGTGAGGCACGGCGAGCTCGGACATCACGGCGGGCAGCAGCGCGTCTACCGCCGCCGCGTCCCACGTACAGCCGCGCAGCTTGTCCGCCGTCTTCGCCGCGAGCACCGCCGTCGGCGCAAGCCCTCCGTACGCCAGCGCCGCGTCAGAGACGAGCCAGACACCGCGCCCCTCGCGCTGCGCCGGCTCGAGTCGGACGCGCAACGCGCACGAGACGATGGAGATGTCGTCCTCGCGGCGGCGCGCCTGCTTGTACGGCCGCACGAACTCGAGCGGCGCGCAGTGCGGCACGAAGAAGGAGACGATCACCTGCAGAGGGGGAGGAGAGAGGGGGAGGGGGGGGGGGTGCGCACTCTCAAGACCCCACATGCCGAGGGGAGCGGCGGCACCACCGCCCCACTCTCGTCCGGCTCTCGGCGCACACCTCGTCCGGCTCGAGGGCGACGCGGCGATAGCCGGTGACGAAACCGGCGAGCGGGACGGTCCGCTCGCCGCGCGCCTCCGACGCGGCGGTCAGCGACGCTCCGCACGCGAGCAGAGTCGGGATCATGTCCGAGATGGGGGACGCGGTCGCGATGTTGCCGCCGAGCGAAGCGACGTTCCGAATCTGCGTCGATGCGAACCAGCGGAGCATCGTGGCGCAGGCGCGCGCCGCCTCGCCCTCGCAGCCTGAGCCGCACAGCGTGGGCGTGTCACCGCGAGTGCCGTCAGACCTCTCTCCCCCTCTCCCCTCCTCCTCTCCCTCTCCGCCTCCCCTCCTCCCCTCTCCCCCTCCCTCCTCCTCCCCTCCTCCGCCCGCCTGGTCGGGCGCGGCCCGCCGCCTCGCACAACGCCTCCACATCCGAGAGAGGCGCGCACGCGCCGAGGGTGAGGCCCTTCGCGCCGTCCTCGCACGCCTGCGGGACATGGTCAGGGACGCGTCGCGGACACAGCCCAAGCTGAGGCCGGCCCGCGCCATCTCCAGGGGGGGAGGGGGGGGGGGGGGTGTTCGCACCACCAGCTGCGGCACGCGCGAGGGGGAGAGGTACCTAGTCGTGCATGACCACAGGGGGCTGCGGGTGGGAGCACGGCACCGTGCCGTGTCTTCAGAGCAGCGTCGGCAAGCAAAGGCTACCAACGCAGGGAGCACGGCCTTGCATCTAGAGACAGGGTCACGCGTCTGCGGAGCGGCGCTTGTACCGCGCCTCGATGGTGACCTGGCCGCAGGGGAGAGGGGGTGACGAGGCGGCTCGGCCAGCGGGGCAGCCTGCCGCCCCCCACCGCCCGCCTCCGAGGCGCCGGTGACAATGCGGCCCCTCTCGCCGAGCGACGCCTTGAGCGCGAGCAGCTCCTGCAGCGAGGTGGGGCTCCACCACGCCGTCGGTCTGCTCACAGCGCGGAGGCGTGAGGGGGGCTCGCTGCGCCCGGCCGTGGCGCGCGGGAGGCGGTCGGCCGGCGAGGCGCGGCGGGGATGTGGAGGGGCGGGGGCGGCCAAGCGAGCAGCTCCTCGGGCAAGGCCGGCTCCGACTCGGCTGCGTCAGTCGCCGCGTACGGCGTCGTGTGCTTGGCCAGCTTGGAGGCGGTGCTGCTCACCACGTCGCCGTCCGGAAGCAGCTTACAGTCGGAGGGCAGCGACGCGGCGCAACCGCCCGCCCCGCCCCCGCCGCCACACCCCTTGTTGCCACTGCCGCACCCGTTTCCGCCGCCGCCGTTTTCGCCGCCGCCGCCGCCGCAGCAGCCGCTGCCGCCGTCGTCGCGGATGCAGAGCGACGCGGCGGCGTCGAGGATGGGCCGGTAACCGGTGCAGCGGCAGAGGTTCCCGTCCAGCTTCTCCGTCAGCTCCTCCGCGCGCCTGTGGCAGTGGCAGAGGGACGTGAGGCCGGGCTGCACGGTGCCGCCGCTTCCGCCCTCCCCCCTCGTGCCTCTCCCGCTCGGGCAAGAAACCGGCGGGCGCTGGTGCGAGTGGGCTCTTTCGGACGGGGTGCATGCTCGCAGCTCGCCACCCCTCTTCTCCCGGCTGCCACTCTCAACGCATCTCGGGGTCGCGCACATGTCTGGCGACGTGCGGAGCGCGGCGTAGAGAGCCATGACGATGCCGGGCGTGCAGAAGCCGCACTGCGAGCCGTGCAGCGCGGCCAGTCGCTCCTGAATAGGATGTACCTCGCCGCGGCGCGACGAGCCGATCCCCTCCACAGTGGTGACCATGCACCAGTCTGCCGCGCAGACCGGCATGAGGCATGCGTTGACGGCGGAGTGCCGCACCTCCGAGCCGTCGCCGCGCGAGGAGAGGACGACGGTGCACGCGCCGCAGCCGCCCTCGCCGCACCCGAGCTTCGTGCCTGTGTAACCCTCTGAGCGCAGCCACTCGAGCAGCGTCATCTGAGCGTCGGCGGCGGCAATCTCGTGCCGCTTGCCGTTGCAGTAGAGGAGGACTGAGCCGCGGTACTGCTTGAGCGCCGCGGCGCTCAGCGGCGTCTCCTCGTAGGCGAGCGTCGCTCGCGTCATGTTGGCTGCAAAAAAGCAAGGGCCTGGCGAGCTGCAACACGGCGACTCGACGCCGGGGTATGAGATCTCGCTAGTTTTGCACGTGAGTCTCCCGACCGACAGAAGTCGGCGGAAGTTTCCGTGTTGAATTTTCTTTAACACTCACACGTCATTTGTGTTTGTCCTGCCTGTGCCTGTGTGATGCACGCCCTACAAACGGGCACCAAACGGGGCGGGGTGCGCGCTGTGTTCGTGCGTCGCCCATGTCTCATGGAGATGCTGCTCTATTTATTTGTTTATGCCTCACAGCAACCCGCCTCTTGCTGAGCGGAGACTTCTTCTTTTGCACGACACTGGGCACGCGGCTGCCATTCGTTCTCTTTGTTCCACTTTGGATGGGACGGAGAACGACTGGTGTCGGCCTCGCTCGCGCCCCGTTGCCGCAACACATGCTCATGCTCCCGCATCGCAGCCGACGTACGGCTGCTGTCCTACGCGCCGCGTCCCGCTCGATGTATGCGGCGGCGGGCTACTCTGGGATGCCCTTCACCGTGCACCGGGGGACGCTTAAGACGGCCCAGATCACATACGAGGGCTTCTCTGGAGAGGTGCCGTTCACGCTCGTGCTGCCCGAGGCGTACGACCCCGACAAGGAGGGCGGGCATCCGCTGCTGGTTTGCCTCGCTGGACCTGGTATGCCGGATACAATGATCCTGGAGCCGCAGCAGGTTCCCGGCCCGCTGCCGATGCATCCCGCTCCCGCCGCTGCCTACTGCATTGATGCGTCCATGCCCCACCCACCGCCGCCCCGTGTGTGAGTCTTGTGTGCTGCCCGTGCGCGCCTCAATAGGTCTTTGGCTTCATGGACCCGTCCGACCTGAGCAAGAGCCAGGTCAGCGGCATCATGAGCCGTGCAAAGGTGGCCTCGATTGTTGTCGCACGCTCTCTGTCCGCGTCATTGGTGCAAGGAGCCGTCCTGCCACTAGGCTGCCAATTTGCCGCTTGCCTTGCTGTGCGCCACCTGCGCAGGCCACCCTCAGATGGCGGAGTTGTCCAACACTTGCGGGCGGTGGTCGGACTGGACGAACGGGAGCGCAAACTGGGAGACGTTCACCGTCAAAGAGCTGCTGCCGCACGTTCGGGAACACTTCAACGTTGGCTCCGATAACCCAGCAGAAGTTGCCATCACGGGTATCAGCTCGGCCGGCCAGGGTGCGCTGCGCTTCGGGCTCAAGCACCCCGACGTGTTCGGTGTGGTGTGTGGCCTCTCGGCAGCCATCACACCCACCGCAAAGGCGGCCGACCTCTACCTCGAGCACCCGAATGTGCCCCTCTCCTGGGCGAACGAGCTCGTCGTCTTCGCCGATAAGGAGGGCGACACGCACGCACTGCCCGCCCCCATTCCTGCGCGTGGAAAGACCCTGACCTTGCCTCACCTCACCGCAGGACGGGGTGCTCAACGAGGACGACTTCCACGCCAACAACGCCATCTCGATCGCGAGCAACCCGGCGGCGCAGCAGGCTCTCAAGGAGCACGGCACGAAGATCCTAATCGATTGCGGCGGCCGAGATGAGCTCTACCCGTACGCGGGCGCCGAGATGCTCCATCGCGTGCTTGCGGACAGCGGCATTGAGCACGAGTATCGTCTTGGGTTGCACGGTGCCATCACCGACTCCCACGCGAGATGTGGAGTATCTTCGCACGAGCGTGTCGCGTGAATAGGCACCCACATCGGGTCTGACGCGTGGGCGAGAGACATGTACGCGGTCGACTTCGCCATCAAGCACATAACACGCCACCTGCGGGGCTCGGACCCGATGGATGCGGGGCTGAGCGCGCACATGCAGGGCGTGGCAGAGGGCTGCCTCGAGAAGTGGGGGATTGCAAAGCTCTCACACGGGGAGGCCATGGCGCTGGTGGGGAACAAGATGATGAAATAGGAGCTTCTTTGGACGCCCAACGCTTCACACAACTGCGCGGCCGCTCGTGGCTCGACTTGGGTGGTGGATGGGTAGAACACATCGTACCGAACTTACGACGTGCCGAGGCGCTGCGACGCAGTAATACTATAGCCTATAGATAGGACGTGCGTGCCTGTCTCGTTTCCTATTCGACGTCTTGCTCATATGTGTTTCCGGTTCCGAATATCGCGTTTCTCCGATCGTTTCCTGTTACCCCCCCCCCCCCACACACGAAATTTCTCTTCGCCCTCACTCTTTTAGAGTTTTTTACACATACAACAGTCAACAGAGTTCTCGTGGAGCCGCAGGGCGCAGCCGAAGCAGCAGCCACATGCCACAAGCCCCCTCAACTCTTGCCGCTCTTCTGTCGGTTGTGACGAGGGGTGAGGGGACGGCGGATTGTGAAGATCCAGGGGGCGGGCGGACACATGCGTGCGATCCCATTTACCAGTATCCTCGCCCATCATACATAGTAGAGATAGACAGGCAGAGTCCACAGGGAGGCAGGGAGGGTCACGCTGCAAGCACACACATGCGCGGGCTCCTGCATTCTCTGTATTCGATCAAAACGCGCAGCTCTGTGCCACGTGCGATGAGGATTGGAGTTTAGACCGGGGAGGGCCCCAGGCCAGCTCGAGGCTCAGTCCCGGTCGGCGTGCACATAATCGACGAATATGAAAGCCGCTGCTTCCCGATGCAGCTGCGCCTGCGCCCTCTCGAGGCGCCATAGCGCGAGCGCACCGCCCGCGAGCGCACTGCCCGCGACGCGCGGCGACGCGGCGCCGCCGAGAGCCGCGGCGAGCACGCCGCCCGCGAGCGCGATGCACGCCTCGCCGAGCCGCTTGCAGAGCTTGGCGGCTGCACGCACGCGATCGAGCTCCGCGGAGCAGACGGCGCAGTGGCGCGTGTGGCTGTCGTACCGGTCGAGCAGCTGGGCCCGCTCGAGGCTGCGGCCGTACCCGCCGCGCTCGCCCGCCTCGCCCGTCTCGCCCGCCTCGCTGCCCGCGGCCGCCGCGACCGCCGGGTCGCTCCCGCGCCGTGCCGAGGAGAGCCAGGTGCGGAAGCGCAGCACGAGCGCGTCTGCCGAGGTGGGCGAGGTGAAGTGTCTAGGAAGTGTCTAGGAAGTGTCTAGGAAGTGTCTAGGAAGCGCAGCACGAGCGCGCCTGCCGAGGTGGGCGTAAAGTAGTCGCGGAAGCTCAGGCCGCGCTCGGCCATCCGCTGGCCCTGGTAGTGCAGGAAGATGCCGTCGCCGTCGAAGATGAGGTGCGACAGCATGTGGTCCGCGACGGTGCCTGGCGCGCCGAAGCTGCGCGGCGGCGGCCCGCCGACCAGGAGGCGCCGAACCGCGCCAACAGCCTTGGAGAGCAGCAGCCGCGCCATCCGCGACGCGGGCACGGCGGGGCGCGCGCCGGCGGCAAAGGCGTTGAAGAGGAAGACGCGCGAGCGGCCTTGGGCTGTGGGGCAGAGGAAGAGCTCCACGTTGGCCGCGGCGCCCGGCCTCGGCCGCCGCTCGTACCGGACGTGTTGCGGCGCGAAGAAGGAGATGTTAACCGACGCGGCGGCGGAGTCGACCATCTGTGGGAAGCACGGGGGCGGGGAGGAGGGGTCTCGGGTCGCAGTGCCGCGCGGGCGTGTCTCGGAAGCGTTCTCGGGCTGTCTCGGAAGGTTCTCGGAAGGTTCGCTCGCCGACGGGAAGGCGGCCGCCATCCCCTTGAGCACCGGGTCGTCCCGCGCGGGCTGCAGGACCGCCGCCGAGAAGCGGGCCGCCCCGGGCGCGGGCGGCGAGGGCGGGAGCGGGCGGAGCTCGAGCGATCCGCCCGCCTCCCGCGCGAGCCCTCCGACGCCGTGGTGGGAGAAGGGCAGGTGGGAGACGTCGAGCAGGTTCTCGCCGAGCAGCTCGTAGCCGTAGGGCAGGTCGCGCTGGAAGCCGGCGGCGGGGGATCGCTCGCAAAGCTGGCGCAGGAGCGGCGAGAGGGGGAGCGGCAGCGCCGCCTCCGCCTCGGCCGCGGTGGAGGCGGCGTCGCCCCACACCCAAAGCATGCCCGCCTCCTCGCGCGTCTGAAAGGCGCCGACACGGGCTCGCTCGCCGGCGGCGTGGGGCTGCTGCGCCTGCGGGACGCGTGCGCAGCCGCCGCCGCCGTCAAACGACCAGCCGTGGTAGCTGCACTGCAGGCAGCCGCCCTCGACGCGGCCCTCAGACAGAGGAGCGAACCGGTGGGCGCACGCGTCGGCGAAGCAGCGCCACGCCGCGCCGTCGTGCCACACGACGAGGCTCTGGCCGAGCAGCTGCACCGGGTGAGGACGCGAGCGGTCGAGCCCATGCGTGAGGATCACGGGCCACCACGCCTTGGCGAGCTCGTGCTGAGGTCGGAGCTGTGCCGGTGCGTCGCTGCTGACCTCGGCCGCGCTCGCGTCGGCGGCGAACATGCGCACGGTTGGAGGGCCAGCGCCGCTGCGTGAGGTCAGAGTGGCGGGAGGACGAACGCCGGGAGAGCGAAAGGCGCATGCGGCGAGGAATGCGTGCAGCATATACACACGTGTGTAGGATTCCTACCCAGATAGGGGTCTGCCCGCACCAAAACGCCCTACCTATCTACCTGTCCCCGGGCCGCGCGCAGCGAAGCGAAAAAAGAGGAAAATAGGGGGTACCTACCTATTGCGGGGCCCTCTGGGGCGGTCAAAACCGGACCTACCTACCTATTGCATAGCCATACTGTCCAAGGCGAAAGTCTGCCCAGGTTGCGGAGGGCACGATCCCGGCGTGAGCACGACTAACTGACGGATCCGCTCCTGACAGTCGCACGCGCCGCACTGCGGCGCGTGCGACTGTCTTTGTTTGAAGTTAAAAGTCGAATCAGAGCGGCGTCGGCGCTGCCCTCCGTTTTCCTCCCCTGGTCCCCCGTCCGGCACCGCTCCGGGACGCACGCCGGCGAAGCACCGTCAAGCTGCTGTACGGCCCCGGCATCGCCTCCCCTGGCTTAGCTAGAGTGAGAGATATTGTGCACATGGTCAGTCTCTACAATATACTCACTGACACTCCACCTCCCAGAGCTCGTCCTGGTCCGCCACGGCCATCCTCGGCCTCCGGAGGGCCCCCGGCCGCGGCGCGGTGCGGCGGCGTCACAAATCCGACGGCAGAGCACCGGGACGCGGTCGGGCGATCTAAGGCCCAGTGAGGCGTATGCATTGCCTATCCAGGGCTATCACCTGGACCTATCAACAGGCGCCTGCGGCGCCGTGGTCAGAAGCTGCTGCTCCCACCTGTTCACACTTTCATAGTGGACAGTAGGGTCTACGGGGTGGACAGACCCCCTATCTGGGTAGGAGCCGGAACCCAGGCCGCGAGGCGAGAGTGGCAGGATAAAGACAGAGAGAGCCGACAAATACTGATGACGACCATGAAGTACAGCGATCGCCACCTCGCTGGCCTCTTCGCAAGGCCTCCCGACCGCGTCGAACTCATCGGCGCGGGCTCTCTCGGCTACGGGACCTGAGGGAGGGTGTAGAGGATGTAGAGTGTAGAGCGCTGTAGAGCTGTAGAGATGTAGAGCGCTGTAGAGCTGTAGAGCTCTACATCCGCCGCGGGACGAAGTGCCTGCGTTGTAGAGCGATGTAGAGCGCGATTTTGCTGCAGAGTTTGTTGTAGAGGCTCTACAGCCAAACCGCCGGGAAGGCAGTGCCACTCAAAGAGGTCGAGTCGCACTAATGGGGTGTCTCTGAGCTTACTGGAGCTCTGATGGACGGCCCTGACTATCCCTGACACACAGAGAGTCACTCTGACAGCACACAACACCCTATAACTGCGTCATGACCAGCCTGCCATGCGTCGCCGGTCGGCCGGTGCCGCATTCGTCGCAGTGTGCTCCTTTAGCAGGCGGTGGACTGTCGGCTGCGAGGACGGTCGCATCTGCCGAGGCGAGGCGATCATTGTTGAGCGTTGCATGCGCCATGACTCGCGCCAGCGCGTGCGGGAGCTCCTGGCTGAGCGTTGAGTCCAGGCGAGTTGCGCTGGCCACGATCGCTACGCCGAGCCGAGCTGACGCGCCGAGGCGCCGGCCAGTCGCAGCCGTGAGGCATGCCATAGCAGCAGAGGCACCTCCCACCCATTGGGCGGGCAGACAGAAGGCCAGGGCAGCACTGGCAAGTGCAACGCGCCTCATGTCGGAGAGCGACCGTGCCTCGTTCGCCGCTTATGATGTAGAGTTTGTTGTAGAGATTTCACGTTGTACTCGAGTAGAGCGCCTCTACATCGCTCTACAACGCAGGCACTTCGTCCCGCGGCGGATGTAGAGCTCTACAGCTCTACAGCGCTCTAGAGCGCTCTACATCTCTACAGCTCTACAGCGCTCTACACTCTACATCCTCTACACCCTCCCTCAGGACGGGACCGGCCCCAGCTTCGGCTGAGGGCGAACGAACAAGCTGCCGAGCCCAAATCACTGTGGGGTCGTGATTTCTTGTTGGTCTTCAAAAATCTCTCTCCCAAATGTGGCTCGGGTTACACCAATCCTCGCTACCCAACGCGGCCAAAGGATACTCGAGTATCCACCTCGAGCACCTCGAGAGAGGAAAAAAGGACAAAAAAAGCGGAAGGCCAAGGCAGCGGCGTGCGACGCCAAGAACTGCGACTTTATGACGTGGGCGGCGAGCACGCGTGGCGGCATCGGGCACGAGGCGGCGACGTGGTTCAACACCAACTTCGACATCAAGGCCGCTAAGGCGTCCTCCGACAGCGAACGATGGCGGGTCAGTAGCGAGCGCAAGCGCTTCCTGCAAGTGCACTCGACCATCGTCGCGAGGCGCAACGCCGTTATCTTCGACTACAACGCGTGGCCGAAGATGGGCGGCGAGATGCCGCGGGCGCCTCGAGAGCAGTATGAGTAGGGACGGGCGAGGGAGGAGGGGCGCTGACCACGGGCGACTACGAGTCGAAGGTTCGAGGACGACTACTCGCCGCCTGGGTCGTTTGGGGCGCGCGGCTCCGTCGAGGACCGGGCGCGCCCCTTACCCGGCGCGGCGTAGGTCCCACTCTGACGAAAAGGGGGGAGGCACGGTCGACAGCCCGATCCATCAACTACTCTCATCTTCTGGGGCTTGGCCCCGTGCAACAGCGGTCCGGCAGGCTGCCCCCAAGGCCCCCCGGGCCGCTGCGGGTTTGGGAGTTATGCTTAGGCACAGCTTCGGCGATGGCAGCCCCTCTCTGGGGTGTTGCATTAGGCGGGGAGTCTCCCCCGCTGGTCTCCTCCTTCCCATTTTTTCTTTTCTTTTGAGAGCAGGACGCCGGGTTTGTCTTGTATGTGCGTGTCGGGCCAGGGTGTGTGCGCGGGGCGGCGAGGGGCAGGGGCGTGCAGGGCGGGGGCCCAACGTCGGGTGGCTTGTCGGGGCCGAAGAATTCGAGGAGGGATCGAGGAGGGGGGAATGGGCGGTCGGCGTCGGAGTAGCAGGCCGCAGGGCGTACGGGGTAGCCGTCACTTTCCTGCCTCACAAGGGCGGGGCTGTCCCGGAGAGTGAGAAACGCCGGGCAGCGTGACGCATTACTGAACCCTCCCATACGTGTTTGGGCTTCCTCCTTTGCTGTCCCATCTCCTCATCTCTTTCCCGCCTGGGCGGGGCAGCGGGTGGGCGCGCGGTGAGGCGTGGCGTGTGAGTGTGTGCGACTGCAACGAAGGACCGCTCGCAGAGGACCATTGGGTTTGTACTATTAACAACGAAGGCGCTCTCAAACAAAAAATGCGCAAGGCGCAAAGAGAATGCTCGTGCTCTCATGCGCCGCTCTTTCTCTCTCTTCTTCTCGCCTTCCAGCTGTCTCGACGTCCGATCGCCTTCCAGCCGGCAGCGCTGGACACCTCCTTCTCGACAGGCGCACCGCCTTGCGCTTGCCCTTCGCAGCGGCAGTGTCCGCGGCGGCGGCACTGCGACCGTCTCCGGCGGCTGCCATCGACCTCACACTGGATGTGAGTGGTTTGCGCTGGGCAGACATTCGGCAGGGCGTCGGCGGCGTGCCGCGGGACGGCGAGCGAGTCACGGTCGATTACATGATGACGCGAAACATTGGCGTGACTCCGATGGCCGGCGGGAAGATCTACAGCACAAAGGACTCGCAGCAGCCCTTCTCGTGGGTGCTCGGGGACGGGAGCGTCATCGAGGGGCTCGACATGGCCGTCCTTGGCCGCGGCGGCATCCCTCCGATGAAGCCGGGCGGCATCCGCCGAGTGCTCATTCCGCAGCAGCTTGGATACGGCGTCGGGCGAGGCGTCTTCCAGGCGCGGCCTCCTCGCGCCTCCACTGTGGCCGCATCCCGCTCAGCCAGGCTGCGCACACCGGCAGCCGACCCTTGCTTGCGCCGCCCGCAGGACAACACCGCCGCCAGAGTCGGAGTTCGGTCGCTGCTGCCTGTGCCTCCGGTCGGGTTTGAGTGGAGGGACAAGCAGGAAGCGTCGAGCGCTGCCTCTCGGCTGGGCTCTCGGCTACAGCTCGGACACCTCTCTCGGACCTTGGCCGTAGGGGGATGTCGTCAACGCATACGCGCGCTTCAAGGCGCGTCAGCACAAACGAGGTGCGCGACCCCTCTCCCGGCTGCACCTCAGCAGACACCACTCGCCGTAGGACCTGTACATGAACGAGATGCGCCTCGACGAGCCGGGCCTGCTGCTGGACGTGATCCTGAGGCCGCAGGATGCGGCGCCGGAGGCTGCAGCGGAGAGCGCAGTCGCGATGGGCGGTGCGGCCCCGCCGAGCAGCCCGAACGATCAAACGTGATCAAGGCGTCATCGGCGGTGGAGACTACTGAGGAAGAACGCGTCTCGTTCGTTTCGTTTTGGAATATTCGGTTCGGTGCGGTGCCTTGCCGCGGGTTGGTAATGCACAACTTTTGTCGTTACCTTTGCAGGGGCGGCCAGGACGCCCCGGACACTGGTCACTGCCCAGTGCGTGCTGCGTGGGTTTTTATTTAATCGTTTGGATTTTCACTGCTGGCCGCCGCGGAGTCCGGAGACCGGAGACCCGCCGCGGGACCACCCCGGGGCGTGGAAACACGAGGGACCAGCGTGTGATTTCGATCGTGCGCAGAGCGCCCCGGCGCTACCCGCAGCCCGGACACATGCGCGCGCGCCGGGGAGCGCGAGGCGGCCCGCAGCGCCTGCTGTTGACAACTTGGGGAGCAGACGGCTTCTGAAAAGCTGCCCCAAGCAGGCGTTTTGACGGATTCAAAGTTCTTCCCTACAAAGGCCAACGGAACCGAGAAACCAGTACAGTACGTTTCATCCTTTTCTTGTTAGCAAAAGTAGAGACGCATATTGCGGCATATAGGCCTATACGCGGGGGGGCAGTGCGCAGTGGGTGGGCTCTGAGAGTGTTGCTTAGGGTTGGAGCAAGCTCTTGATGAATCGTATCTAGCCCTCCTCAACCCTCAAATTTCCTTCGGCGCGGCGCTCCGCTCCTGGCTCCTCCGGTATCTAATCTTCTATCGAGGCGCTGTTGCGCACATTCTATTCGATCCACTTTCCACGTTGCGTGTGGTTTTTGAGACGGCGAGAGAGCGCGTGTCTCGCACACAAAAGCGCCTGCGCGCAGGGTCGCGCGCGCGGCCGCGTAGCGGAGCGCACGCGGGGCTCCTTGACCAAATACACTCGCTCTCTGAGAGATGACCCACCAAAGCACCACATGCAGACGAGAGCACCGGTCGCTTCTCTGTGTGCGAGGCGTGAACCGCGCCATTCGCTCTTACCTGGCACAATAGCTGTCTGCGCGCCTCGAGTGGCGACAGTGTGAGATTTGTTGCTTATTCCAACCACAACAAGAATATCTTGCCCTGCGCGGGACCGCACATGCGGCACCGCACATGGCGGGACATGGACCGGGACGACCACTCCGAGGCGCGCTGGTTTTGTTCTTTGGGTTTAGGGACGCGGTTTGGCGCGGCTAATTTGTGGCGCTCGCGCGTCGAAAAGAGCCAGTGCGCGCGTTGAAGAGCCAGTGACGCGCATCGCGATTTGTTTTGCCTCGAGCACTCTGCCCTCCTACAATACTGAACTGCTCGCACCATGTCTTCTGCCACCGAGTCGATGATCCCGGCCGCCGCCGTCGAGGAGACGATCTCCCCGCCCACGAGCCTCGAGAAGCAGCCGGCGCGTCAACACACCCACGCACCCCTCCCCTGCGTGCGCGTCACCGACGATCGACGCATCGCACCCAAGCAGCTTCACGCCCCATCACCACTCACTTCCGCAGGCCGCAGAGCCGCCCGCAGCGGACACGTCGATCGCCACCGTCGACCCCACCCCGTCCGCCGGCGAGCCCGCGGCGCCCAAGCAAGAGGCTCGCGCACACCTTCCCTCGCCCGCCGCCCCGCCGAACGCCCGAACTCCGCGCGCCCGAGCGCTCTCCTGCGCGCGACGCATAGCCAGGTTGCCGCCACCCCCCCACACAATAACCCGACGCCACCCCGCCGCTCGAGTGCTTGCGCAGGTGTCGAACACCGCCGCCACCACCGCTGACGAGCCGCCGACGCCCTCTGCGGCCCTTGCACGCAATATGGTCGAGATCGCTCTCGATTCGCCCAACTGCAAGCCCGTGACGCCGGCGGAGGAGAAGGAGGAGATGGACACGGCCTCGCCAGCCAACAAGATGAAGGGCGACGCCAAGGCGTCGTCCGAGCAGGCGACCGAGGCGGCTCCAGTGGCGGTGGAGGGGGCCTCGCCCGTGTCGCCGGAAACGCCCGCAATGGAAGAAGCGGCGAAGAACCCGGAGGCTGTCGTGGGCGAGAAGCGCTCCTCCGAGGCCGCGCCGCAGCCAGCCAAGGCCTCCAAATCGCCGGCGAAGTCGCCAGCCGCCGTCACCGAGAACGACGGCAACAGCAACGTCGAGGAGGCCTCCTCGATCGCCTGAGCTCGTGCGAGGCCGTCGCGTGATCGCACAAGCGGGACTGTGGAGGGCTGGCGCAGGGCGAATGGACTCGATGTGAGGCTGGTCTACTGTACATCTACATACAGGGAAGCTTCGCGTGCGCGAGAGTGCGTGTCCAGTTGGGCGAGAGTTTACGGACGGTGACTGTATGTTCCGGCACCCAAAACAGGAGCGGCCGCACATTGCTCGGTACCCCCCCCTGCACTTCTAAGCCCGTCCCTGCTGCTAGGGGGGGGGTCTGACCCCCCCCAGCAGCAGAGCGGACCCCCCCTAGCAGCAGAGCTCTGCTGCTGGGGGGGGGGTCCCGAGCCCCCCAGCAGCAGAGCGCACTGGTTTCAGCTCCCGCCTCTTCGCCGCCGCCGCCCCCCTGGCTGGTCCATCGCGAACCCACTATGATTATCGGAAGCTCTCCTCCAGCAGCAGAGATGTGGGTGTCTTCCGACAAATCAAGCAGCCCGACCGCCGCGAAGCGGGATGATAGCGAGAGGTGTACTCCGCGAGGTTGAGCGCTGCACGCGGTACTCGACGGTGTCGCAGCGTCGAGCAACACTCGGTGTCAGAGCGTCGCGCCAAATCAGTAGTCTCATCGCCGAGTGATTGCTGGCCTGTGGCGTATGACCTCGCGCGGATATCACCAACAACGAGCATGCGAAGATAGGGAACCATGTCTGAGATGGACTTGTACCGCCCGCTGTGCTCTCCGCTGTGCCACGCCACAGCTGCGAGAGCCGTATCTTCCCTCCTTGAAGCAGAGGCGCCGCGAGGCACGAGAGGCGTAGAAGAGAGGCTGGCGTGCCCCGCACCGCCCGGCTGGCAGTAGGAGGGCCCGCCGGTGAGACCACTGATTTTGGTGCCGACCATAAATTCTCGCCACTTGGAACGCATGCTACTTACAGCTGCTGTCTGTACAGAGATGCCAGCCCCCCCCACAGGCAGAGTTTTGCTGTTAGGGGGGGGTTCTGACCCCCCCAGCAGCAGAGCGCTGCTGCTGGGGGGGGGGGGGGGGTGGAAGCAGGCTTGAAGAGCTGCGGCTGTACGTTCTGTGACAATCGTCAGATCAGTGTTTTTCTCGATGTTTTGCCGCTCAAGCTCTGCTCGCCACCGGGTCCCGACCCCCCCAGCAGCAGAGGTGCAGGGGGGGTACCGAGCAGTGTGCGGCCGCTCCAGTGACTCACTGCGGCGCCCCAAACGGTGAGCAGTGGGCACGCCAGCCTCTTTTACGGCTCTCTGGCGCTGACCACAGCCTCGCCCTCACCGCTGACGGCAGTGTCTGGAGCTGGGGCGATGGAGGGCATGGCAAGCCGACGGCCCCATCGATACGGCTCGGTCGCCCACAATGCAGCCCCTCGATGCATGGCGCCGCGAGGAGCCACTCGCGCTCGATTGCATGCACGCAGGCCAGCGAGCCCGGCTGAGCAGACAGCCACACGTCGCTTCCTGCACGACTCCGCGCTGTGCCTGTGGGTCGGATCGACTGGCTCTTTCAGAGGCGAAAGGGGGGCCTTCCGGTCTCCGGAACCCGTCGTTCGCTTCGGCGTCGACGGTCTCGATCCGAGCGCTGCACCGCGCGCTCGCAAGACGTCTGCGCTTGTCGTGGAGCTCTGGAGGGCACGGACGATGGGCGATATCGCAGCGAGCGTCAGGACCTAGAGGTCAGGACTCGGAATGTGTCCCTCTGTGACAGCCGCCTAGCCAGCCGCCGAGGACCATATGAAGCAGACAGAAAGAAGATCTGCAGTGGGGTCGGCAGAGCGCAGCCGGTAAGTAAGCCTTCGGCCGGAGCAGCAGCAGCAGCACAGCAGCAGCACGGCGCCTCTCTCACCCTCTCATCTCCAAACACTTCGTGAACTAAAAAGCGACCGCAACGAACGATTTCATGAGTGACAGCAAAAGCGAAAAGGGAGTGGCCCGCGGATATGCTGTGTCTGTCCAGTCGGCAGTCGCTGGCCAAAATGACAGTGTCAGTGAGAGCAGTTTCCATCCATCCAGTTACATCTTACATGGGATCCACATGGCTGCCAGTGAGTCAGAGGGTGGTGTGGCCGGCAAAAAGAGGGAAGAGAAAACAGCGGCAGCAGCGATGCTGCCACGACCACGACGCCCACGGACCCACAACGATCGGGGCCTGACCCGTCCGTGGTCTTTCGTTGCGCGGAACCTTCTGAAGAAAGAATTCTTAAGATACAAGCCTCTCTCACAGCACACTGGCACGACAAGGGCGCAGACTGGCGCGGACTGGCACACACACAGGCTCACCAATGAAGAAAGAAAGAAAACCCAAGCGCGCCAACCCACCGCTAAGTCGCGGCTTGCCGCTGCAGCCGCAACCCGTCATACGTTTGGAGATGCTCGATTACGGAGCGGACTCGCTCTGCTTCGTGATGATGCGCTGGGGCGGCTGGCCTCCGTGGATCTCAGTCACGATGCGGACGGTGGACTCACCGCCAACTGCCTCTGCCTGCTGCCACCCTCGACTACCCTCGCAGAGCCACGCCCACGCATCGTCAGTACACGCCACCTCCACGCCATCTCCACGACACGCCCTCTCCGCCGCCCGCAGCTCCAGCTCAACCCGACCGTCCGCTTCCTGTTGCTCGGCGACAAGCGGCCGCTGCTGGCGCGCTGGCCGGAAAACTGCGCCTTTCACCGCGCCTCCGTCGCCGACGTCCTCTTGCGCGTGCGCGCGCTGCTCGGCGCCGCGCCGCCCTCGCTCAAGCTCGACGGTGCAGCACCTCGGCCAACACACCAACACACGCACATGCCATACCGCAGGACACCACAGCATAGCACAGCACAGCACAGCACAGCACACCGGCCACCTGTCGCTAGCAGTCGCTGGCAGTGGAGGCGCTCTTCGCACTAGGTTCGAGCTCGAAGATCTCCGACTTCAAGCCGCTGCTCGGCGCCCTCTACCCAGACCTGCTCCGGAGGTGCGCCTTCTGGGGCTACATGCAGGCGCTCTCTCGAGATGTGGCCGAGATAGGAGATGCAGACGAGATGTAGAGCTGGCGGCGGCTCGAGTGATGAGCTGGGCGGCGCGCCTCTCACAGCCCGTGGCGTGCAGGAGGACGAGCTGCTCGGGGAGAGCAGATACTTGAAAAGGTGCTGATTAATTCATTAGGAGGACCAGCTGCTCGGGGACGTGCGCTCCTTCTTCGACAGCGCGACCTTGGCAGCCCACGACATCTTCTCCCCGCTGCCGCCTCCGATGCTCAACGCCGGCCCTTTCATGCTCTACCGCAACTCGAAGCCCGTCAACAACTTGGCCCACGAGAGCGCCGACCTGCGCCGCGTGGCGAGGAGCGGCACGTACGAGGTCTTCGACGAGTGGTGGGGCAAGCTGCGCGAGCCGATGCCGACCGTCGTCGCGCGCGCGGCAAGAGAAGGCCGTGTCCGCTCCTACGCGCCTCAGCCTCCGGAGACGCGCTGGTGGCTCGCTGATGACTACGTCTACGACCGGCGGGGCCTCGGAGGCGGCGGCTCGGCGCAGCGGCCCTCCGGGTCTGGCCCGTCCGAGGAGGGGTGGTGGATGCGGCAGTACGACTCGCGGCTCGTCTACACGTGGCGCGACGGCGCCCTCTACGCCGGCCGGCCGCCGGACGGCGGGCTGGAGGGCGGCGGCGGGGGCGGGGGCGGGTCGGAGGGAGGGAAGGGCCGGCCCCTGCTGGTGCTCCACCTGCTCGGCACGAAGCGGCGGGAGGCGTTCCGCCGCCTCGAGGCGACCGACCACCTCCTCCGCCTGGCCGCGCACGCGTCAGAGGTGGTCGTCTCGCCGCGCGGGCTCTGGCTCAAGGTCTCCCGCCAGGGCCGGTCTCACTCCTGGTACTCGGGCGCCTTCCCCGGAGTGCACGTCCTCGTCCGCTCGACGGAGCTAGCGCGTGCCATCGCCGCAGCGGCGGAGGCGGCCCCAAACCGCTCCGCCTCCTCCTCCCCTGCTGTTGATGCTGCTGCGGGCATCGCCCCGTGCGTCTACACGGCGAAGTTCGACGACCAAGCCGTCCCGCCAGGCTCTTGCGACGAGTGCTCCCGGATACAGGCCGCCGCCGAGGCCGCCGCTGCGAACGCGACCGCCCGCGCCTGCGGCGGCGACAGGGCGCACCTCGGGGCGCACCTCTCCTTCGAGTGCGAGCCTCGGGGCGGCTCCGTCTCGGCGCGCGGGCTGCCGGCGTGCGCGGCGCGGCTGGCGCTGCGAGGAGGACACGCGAGGCGAGAGTGCCACGCCGCCCTCGCCCGGCTCGCCCGCCGCTCGCTCGCCCTGCGGCTGCCCCGGACAGCGCAGCCGGAGGCGGTGCCGATGCCGAGCCTCACGCCGGCGTGGTCCCTGGCGCACGGTCTCGAGCCCTGCCTGGGCAGAGCGGTCGCCGCGGAGCAGCGGTCTCAGAGCCACGCATCCTCCTAGCTTAAGTGCAGTCTGTGTCTCTCGTCTTCCTCTCCCCTGGCTGTGGAGCCCGCTCTAGCCTCTACGCCCACCACTATACAGGTTGGTCGAGGTTGAGCGCACGGGCCACGGCCGGATGATTCTTCTACGTCAGTACGTTGGTGCGCGATCATTGTGCGCATAGGTAGTACATGTAGAGCTCTACACTGCAGCCGCGGGGTGCTGACAGAGAGCTCTAGTTTGACTTCACGATCGAGTGGAGGAATCAAAAAGCGTACGGCTCTAGCGCTAGCGGTGAGGATGGCTAGTAAACGACTCCTGGCGGTACTGTGAGCAAAAACTAGGTCGCCTAGACTCAGAGCCAATCAAGGCAAGGGCAGGAGTTGCGATTTCTGGCGCAGTCAGGCCGCGTGGTGGTCGCCGCCATCGCCGCCGCCTCCATGCCTCTCCACACCGATCGCCGCGGCGCTCGCCTGTGCGACGAGATCAGAGTTTGTGAGCGTGAGGCGGCCTCATTGGTGTGAACGAGCAGCAGCTTAGCACTCGCCTGCGTCCAAGCGAACTTGAGCCGCGAGAAGAGCGTCCTCGCGTCGTACGTGTCTACGACTAGCCCGCCCTCCTCCGCGTCGATGTCGGCAGGCGCAAAGACCCGCACTACGCCCGTGCACAGGCAGCCTGCCAGCAACACGGCCCGCGCATCAGCTCGGCCTCTGGAGGAGGTCTCAGGCAGGGCGGCGCGCAGCACGCACATGGGAAGGCGCCCGCGTCGAAGTGCACGTCTGCAATGCGCCGCAGGTCGAGCGTGTCTTCCGACATGCCACAGCAGCCGTGCCGCTTGTCGAAGCGCCGGCTCGTCAGCGTCCAGTGAGAGGCGACGCAGCAGCACGGCGCACAGCAGCAGCAAGGCCAGCAGCACCGCTCCCAGGTGCTGCCTTCCCAGAGCACGTACTCACTATCCGTGAGCGGCTCACCGTCTCGCCTCTTCAACCGCGCGCCTGCCGGGATAGCTGCCAACGGCTCCCAGAGCCCGTGCGCCCTCGCCGAGTCCGTGAGCGGCTCGCCCGCCACCACGGGTGGTAACAGCGGCTTGTCCAGACTGGAGCGGCCCGGCATGGTCCCAGGGTTCCGGCTCCTATACCCAGATAGGGGGTCTGTGGTCCACGGTTAGACCCTATGCAATAGGTAGGTATTGCAATAGGTCCGGTTTTGACCGCCCCAGAGGGCCCCGCAATAGGTAGGTAGGTAGGTGGTGGTGGTGGTGGTGGGGGGGGGGGGGGGGTGAAAGTAAAAAAACCGCTTCGCTTGCGCGGGAGACGGGCCGCGCGTTAGCCGGAACGGGGCCATGCCAGGCGAGTCGCCTGCGGCTGGGACGCCAGCCGAGACTAACGGGTATTCACAGAGGGCTAACGGGTATTCTTTCGCTTCGCTGCGCGGCCTGGGAATAGGTAGGTAGGTGGGGCACGGAGCCTGGCGATTGGCGCCCGCAATAGGTAGGTAGGTAGGGCGTTTTGGTGCGAGTCGTGGAGAACAGACCCCCTATCTGGGTAGGAGCCGGAACCCAGCAGGTGCACCCAGCCGCGCTGCGCAAAAAACTCAAAGGAGCCGCTGTGGAAATGAGGCTGCCAACTGCACTCGCCACTCCAAGTGCAGAAGTGCTCCAAGCCGCGTGCCGCGGCGTTTTCCTCCCATCCCTCCCTCGGGTTGTGTGTTTGCACTTGGAGCACTTGGAGTGCAGTCGGCAACCGCACACCCAGGGCCGGGGAGCTAGCGCAGCCGGTGTCAGGGGCGGCGGAACCGGCGATGGCGATGGCGATGGCGGTGGCGACGGAGGGGGAGGCGGGTACGGAGGGGGCGGCGGGGACGGTGGCGGCGGAGAGGAAGGCGGGGGAGAGGGTCGATGGGATGACGGTCTTGGTGGAGGCGGCCAGGGAGGGGGTTGCAGAGGCGGCGGCAACGGAGGAGGTGGAGGAGAGGGGGGCGAGGGTGATGGAGAAGGTGGCGACGGCGGCTGTGGAGAGGGAGGCGGCGGAGGGGGCGAGGGGGTTGGTGTCGGCGGCCACGGATGGGGTAACGGTGGTAACGGCGAGGGAGGGGGTGGGGGAGGTAACGGCGGCGGCGGGGGGAGCGAAGGGTGAGGTGGCAGAAGAGGTGGAGGCAGGCGAGGCGGCGGCGGGGGTTGGCACGGGGGCGGCAAAGATGGAGAGGGGGGAGGGGGGGGGAATGAGGGAGAAGGAGAGAAAGAAAGAGGAGGAGAGAGAAAGAGGGCTAGGATGGGGGGGGGAGAGAGAGGGGGCAGGGGGGGGTTTGGAATGTCCGACTCCCGGGTGGAGACACTGCCCTTTGCAGGAGTCACGTGTCCCCAACGACCGGCAGTCGGTAATGAGGTTTGGTTGGTTGAGGAAGACGGCCTCCGGTTCCTGAAGCAGGGCAGAAATAAATAAAGGTTAGGGACGTCTCGGGCAGTTATCGCCGCGTTGAATCCCTCCGTCTGCCGGAACGATCTCCCATCGGTTATAATAACCGGCGGCAATCGATAGTCAAAGTTGGGCTCCGGAAAGCGATAGAGCGCCCGCCCATGCCCTCCGCTTGTTGTGCAGCACTCGCGGCGCGCGCGCGCCGCGGTGTTGACCAACGACCGTGCCACTGGAGGCTCCCACGCCACTCGCGGCGATCCGCATCGAGGCCGCCCGTCGGCGCAGCAAAGGCACTGCGCACTTCTGGGCAGCGCCCAGAATGCAGGGAAGGCCTTGGCGCTTCTCGCCAGCCAGGCTGACTCGGCAACCGGCACGCGAGCCGACTGCGCGTCCCGAGCCCACGGATCGGCGCCGTCGCACAGGCCCGCCAGCCGCCGCACAGCTCCAGAGAGGCCACTGGCGTTGCGCTGCACTGCTTGAAGCTGATGTTGAGGCGCTGCACTGCTCAAAGCTGCCCCGTGCGCCGCCGCGAGCGCCGCGCCGTGGCCTCGTTCTCTGGCGAGCCCCAGCACGACCCCTCGCGGCCACTCGCGCCGTTGCAGCAGCTCCGACCCCGCCACTCCGGCTCCCGAGCGCGCGACGAGCACGAGGAAGAGCATGCGCATGGGCCAAAATCAGTTACTCGATGAATCCGTTTGCGCTCTTTTTCTTTCTTTCTGCTGCTCGACCCTGTCCTCCTCCCCATCCCATCCCTCGTTTGGGTTTGTCTGTCATCCCATCCCTCGTTTGGGTTTGTCTGTCCTTTCTTTCTTTCTTTCTGCTGCTCGTAGCCCGATCCCGCTCATCCGGCCCGCTGGGTGCGCTTCTTACGGCCCTGGGTGTGAGCTGCCGACTGCACTCCTCCAAGTACTCCAAGGAATTTGGTGTGCGACGTTCTCCCATCTGCATCTCTCCCTCCCTTTTGGCCTTTTAATGGTTGGGTAGTAGGGCTAGAGGGTCGCTCTACACTTAGCCTCTGCAGCGAGCGAGCGCTCAACTTAGCCCCCGCACGGAGCCGGGCTCAGACTTAGACGCTGGAAGGCCGGGGGCCATGAACTTAGACGACACGAGGCCAACTCCGGGCAAAACCCGGGTATACCTGCAAAAGTCCAGGTTTACCCGAAAAATACCTGGACGCGGTCCCGACCAGCGTATGCCGCGCACGACGCCATATCACCGTCTCCCAGGGCCAGTGCGCTACTTGCGGCGCGCAACGCCTGCTCAAGTACGCGCACCGTACCATGTGCTGCCGCTATGCGTGCCTTAACGCTATGCGTGCCTTAAGGCGGCTGCGGCGAAGCGGCGGGCGCGGCATGCCGATGGCAGTGCGGACGATGCGGTTGCGATGTGTTCTGCTTCAAGATTGTGGCGGTGCTTGGCATGCACTTCTGCGATCCCAATCAGCTCATCGCAACGAAGCAGCGCAACAAGCTGGCTGCTGCCAACAAGGCCCTATGCTACCTCACGCGCGGATCGTTCAAAGAGGACCAGCATACACAGGCTTCTCTGACATGCGTTTGTTTGAGCTTGAGGCTATTTGTGAGAACTATTTGGCTAGATGTCGCCGAAGTGCGCTCAAGAAGCAGCAACGAGAATCGGAAGAGGAGGATGCTGAGGCGGCGATTGCTAAGCATGAGGAGGATCGATCGCCCGCCGCGCAGGCGAAGAAAATTTGGGCGCGAGCGCCGTATATCGCGTGCCATGGCCGACTTAGCCGGTGTAAGAGGCTCCCGCTGATCTTAGACCGCGTAAGCACTCCAGCGTGGCTAGCCACACTTAGACCCGTTAAATCGCGAGGCTCAGAACTTAGACTACTACCCAACCAGTGGCCTTTTCAGCCGTGAATTTCAGGCCTTGCGCCTTGGAGCGGGCTTGGCTGTCTGTTTTCTTTCGTTTCCTAAGCTCTTTCCCTTGGGTTCCGGCTCACGTCGTCGCCCGCTCGGACGGGCTCCCGAGCGCCAGCCCCCTCATCGGCGTGGCGAGCGCGGCCGCGTCCGCCCGCGTCGCCGCCCCGCCCTGCGGCGGCAGCCCGAGCAGTTTGCAGCCCGCCGCGGAGAATTCGTGCACGAAGGGTGCCGGCCGGTCCGGGTCGTACACGTCCACGGCGCTGCGAGAGGTGCAGCGCCGGCTCGTGCGGCCGTCCCTCACCTGCCGCGTCGCCGCCGCGAGGCCGACGAGCGCCTCGAACGCCTCCGCCGAGTAGCGGCCGCCGAACTGGAAGGCGAGCACGAGCGGCCGCGCCGCCGCCGTCGCCGTCGGCTGGCTCCGCCTCGAGGGCTGAATCTCGTACACGATGACACCGGGACCGCCAACCACCTACCGGCCCAAGCAGACGGGTTGGGGGTGGGCCCGCGCCTCGAGCGGCCTGCAGCTCCACCGGCAAAGCCTCGAGAAAGGCGCCCCCGTGACTGGCGGGCAGCTCCTCGGCGAGCTCCTGCGACCAGAGCCTGCGGAGGCGGACCGTCGCGTCGAGCTCGAGCGGAGGCAGCTCGTCGACCTCGCCGTCGGGGCCCGGCTCGAGGCGGCTGAAGCGGAGGAAGAGCCGCTCGTCGACCTCTTGCCTGCTCGGCGGCCCCACCTCCTCCTCCTCCTCCTCCTCCTCCTCCTCCTCCTCGCCCTCTGCCCCGCCCTCCTCGCCCTCCCCCTCGCCCTCCTCCTCCGACTCGCCCGCCTCTTCCACGAGCGACGCCTCCGCCCTCGCCCTGCAGGGGTGCGACGTCACCCCGCGGCTCGTGGTCGCGCCCTTTGAGAGGGGAGGAGGCAGGCCGCGGTGCAGCCGCAGCCGGCACGAGAAGAGCTTCTCGAGAGCGTCGGTCGCCCCGCCCCCTCTGCTGCGGCTCTGGCTCGACATGATGCCTCGCCGCCACAGCTCGCCGATCGAGAGGAGGACCGAGCGGTACCTGCCTTGCTCGAAGTTCTGCAGCGCGTCGTGCGCGAGGTCGAACGCCCGTGGCTCGTACCGGAAGGCGCCTTGCCACGACGGGAGGCCGTCGGCGCGAGGCGGCAGCGAGAGGGCCGACGCGGAGAGGGCGAGATGCAGCGCGCTCATCGCGTTGGCCAGCCGGGTCTCCAGACGCGACAGTTGTTCGAGCTTGGCCGCCGAGTTGAGCCAGTCGCTCCACGAGTCCTCCTCGGTGAACGTGTCGAGCAGGATGTTGCACGCAACCACGGCGGAGCGCGCAAAGGCCACGGCGGCGACCACGAGCCGGAGCGAGGCCTCCCGCGACGCCAGCGCCTCTGCCACCGAGAGCGGCTCGAGGAGGCAGCTGCACAGGTCCGCGATGCTCCGGAGTTTCTCGGGCGCCCGGCGCAGCCGGTTGACATTATCGACGGCCGACTTGCAGCTTCTGATGCCGCACCACGCGGCACGCGCGGCACCGACGACGGCCGGCGCGGAGCTCAGCGCGAACATGGCGCGTTTTTTATGTCGTGATTTTCTTAAAATTCTTAAACCTAAAAAGAAACCCTTCGGGTAGCTCCTCATCGCAAACCCTGTCAGCAGAGTCTCCTACGGTAATGTACGTAAGAGCTACATACACTGAGAGAGAGATGTGAGAGACCTTGACCGCACCGCGTACCCTCCCCACTCCCGCCTCTCATTTGTGTCACACCACGCGGAACGCATCTCCATCGCTTCGGTGAAGGGGGTGAACCGTGCCATCCTCGATCGCCGTGCAAAGCTCGCTTCCGAGCTCTCACGCCGCGCATAGGGCCCTTAGGGGCCTAGAGAACACCCCCCCCTCTCTCTTTTCTCCCAGTAAGCTAAAAGTACATACACTGAAAAGGGGCAGCAGCCCCGACGTAGCCCCGACGTTTCGGAAAGCATGCGCGATGCCTCTTTGCGCTGCTCGCTCGCGGCTGCGGGAGACATGGCCGCCGATGCGGCTCGCACTCGCTCGGCGGGCCTCCGTCTCACGGCCGCCCGGGCGTGCCAGAGGTCGGCCTGGCCTGCGCTGCTCGCACGCTGCACTGCGCAAAGCTGTGACAACGAGGGGAGGCTCCAGAGCTTGAGCGTTGAGCAGCACAGCTGCAGGTGCTCGTGGACTGCTCTGCGGCGGTGAGAGAGCCTGATTGGGAGCGAGCTGACGTTGCGCCAGGGTGCGCAACATGCTCTCTCGCTCTGTGCTGAGGCATGCTGGCTGGCGCCCAGTACAATGCCCTCAATACATTGCTCCACGCCGTGCTGGCTGGTGCAGTACTACCAGTGCGCTGACTGGCGCGCGGTGTGCGCGTCGCCGCGCGTGGCACGGATGGCTCGAGCGGCGCGGCTGTCGGTCAACCCCGCGGCGCATGGGCGCCGCGGAAGCTGCTCGACAGGCTGCGGGCATCGCTGCGGCAAAAGCGCCCGCCCTATGCTTTGCTTTCGCCCGCGTTTTACGACAACTTTCGGTTTATCATAAGCCGCCGAACTTTACCTCGCTGTTTCTTTATAGGCGTCTCGCAGCTGCGTATTCTCGTATTCTCGTCGAGGAGTTGCATGGGGGCGGTACGTATTCTCGTATCACTAGCTAGGGTCGGGTCCACTAGCTCCGAGTAGAGGGGGCGCTCCGCAGCTAGGGGAAACCCAAAGCGCAGACTAACCCTCGGAGAGTATTCTTTTAGCTCCGAGTAGAGGGTGCGTTCTGCAGTTAAGGGGAAACCCGGTACACGGAGCCAACCCTCGGAGACCCGTGTTATGGCCCTGCGACCGCGCACCCCCCAGGGCTAGGGCTCTCTTGCCAGCAACCCGATATCGATCATCCGGCCCGCTGGGTGCGCTTCTTAGCTCCCCGGGCCCTGGATGTGAGGTTAATGAGATAATGACTGCACTCCAAGTGCTCCAAGTGCAAGTTGTCGAGCCTGTGGCCGTTAGCGATAGGTGAAAGCCACTTGAACCGAAGGCCGCAAGACACGGTGCAGGGAAGAAGGATGTTGACCATCGCGGAGTACATGGATGGTCGAAGGACAGAGAGGAAAGACGTTCGGCTCCCCTGCGAGAGGGACCAGGTGGCCGCCACACTGGAGCCCTCCCGCCCGATAATCGACTGCCTCCCGTCGAGACTTGAGGTCCCATTGGTGCCTCGGCGCTGCCTGGGATCTGGCTCTCACGGCCGCCCCAGAGCTAGCGCCAAAATCGCAAATCAACAGCGAATAGGAAAGCTGCCAAAGCACCCGTATGAAAATCGGCCTCACCAGCATGCGTCGCTGGGTTCCGCGCCTGTAAGTCTGGTGCACTGGCAGGAGCCATACTCGCATAGGGGACGCGTGCTAGCTGAGACTGTAGCCAGCTTCCCGGCCTCCGGCGTCTACCGGCGGGCCTCCCGGACCATCGAGACCTTGGGAGCTCTCCCGCACCGTTTAAGCGTTTAAGACCGTTTAAGGAATCGGCGGCCCAGCAGCTCTTAAAACCGGCCTAGGCAGGTTTTAAGCCGTTTAAGCCGCAGGCGCCCCAGGGCCCACCCTTTTAAGCCTAGGGGTCCCCTAAGCGCCCTGCAGAGGCCAGCCGCCGGCACAGAAACCCGCGGCGCCTCTGGGTGGGCGCTGCCCGGGGCGAGGCGCAGTAGCGCCCCGCCCGGACTCGCTTCGCCGTTGTTGGCGAGCAAAGAACGAAGGTCCAATTTGACCGTCGGCGGTAAAATTTGTCGACCGGCCAATTGCTGAGACGCCCGTGAATACGTTGCTGAACTGAACTCTGCTTCCTTCCCCTTCCCTAGTCACCGTGGCCCAACGGGGTCAATCAAGGAAGCAGCAAAATTCTCAAATTTTCACGCGCGCCAGTCCCGTGCCTAGTGTAACTAAATAAAAGAGCTCCCGTTTCGAGGGGAGACCCGAAAAAAGAAACCGCCTTAGCGCCGCCGCCGCGCCGCCCGCGCGCCCGCCCGCGCCGCGCAGGCTGTTCCACCACCCGGTGTTCCAGACCCGGTCGCTTGTTCCACCAGCCTCGGAAACGACTGATGCACCGGCACCGACTACGGCCACTCTACAGGTGGCATCAGGGAGCCAGGAAGGCTCGCTGTGTGAGCACCGTCCTCCCCTCCGCCATGCACGCCATCCACGGCACCCCCAGCGTCGAGCTCTCGCGGCTCGCTGCGCATCTCGGCCTGCAGGGGCGGCTCGTCGCCAAGCTCGAATACCTCTCGCCGGGCTTCTCCAAGAAGGATCGGATCGCGAGGCAGATCATCGAGGAGGCGGGCCGGGGTAGACCGCTGCATGTACGCTGCTCCACTTTCGTACCGGCTTTGGACGCTGGCGACAGAGGTAGATGATGAGCAGGGAGGCGCCCGCCGCTGCAGCTGCTGTCGTGCTGTGGGCGGGCATCGCTTAGTGGACGTAAGTGCCAGCACGCGCCAGCGCGATTTTGTGCGGACGGCAGCCTCGCGCCGGGCCAGCCGGTCGTCGAGCTGACGAGCGGCAACACCGGCACCGGGCTCGCTATCGTATGCGCGGCGCTCAGCCACCCGTTCGTTGCCGTCATGTCGCGCGGCAATTCTGCCGAGCGCGCGCGGATGATGCGAGCCCTCGGGGCCGAGGTCGTGCTCGTCGATCAGTGCGAGGGGTCACTTCCCGGCCAGGTGTCGGGCGCAGACCTCCGCCGCGTGTCCGAGGTGACGGAGGCGCTGGCGGCGGAGCGTGGCGCCTTCCGAGCAGACCAGTTTGAGCTCGGCGGCAACGCGCGTGCGCACCTGCAGCATACTGGGCCGGAGCTTCTGGCTCAGACCCGCGGCGCGGGCCTCTCCATCGACGCCTTTGTCGACTTTGTCGGCAGCGGCGGCACCTTTGCCGGCGTTGCGACCGCGCTGCGGTGAGACTCCGGCGGGCCACCCAGATGAGTCCCGTGTGCAGCCGAGACGCAGCCGAGATGCCCAACATTCTAGGCGCGAGCTGCCCGGCGTGCGCTGCTATGTAGTCGAACCGCAGGGCGCCGCGGTGCTCGCCGGCAATGACGCGCCACACGCCGCCGCGCCGCACAAGATCCAAGGTGGGCCAGTTGAGCCGAACAAGGACCGTCGACGCTGATGACGCAAGACCAGAGGCGAGTAGGTGGAGGCTACGCGATGGCGGCGCTCACGCCGCTCGCCGCCGCCGAGCCGCCTGACGGCTACCTGCAGGCCCGAGGCATCGCCGAGACGTCGCCGAGCTGCCACGTGGACAGCAGTGCCACATCCCGAACAGGTGTCTTCCTCCGAGGCGGCGGAGACGTGCCGCCAACTCGCGCGGTTTGAGGGCGTCTTTGCCGGCTTCTCCGGCGGTGCCAATGTCGCGGCGGCGGTGCAAATACTGCGCGGAGCCCACGCGGGAGGCACGGTGGCGTGCGTCGTCTGCGACAGTGGCCTAAAGTACCTCTCCACCGACTTGTGGGGAGGGAGAGTAGGAGAGATATTTGATGGGAGATAAAGATACAGTGACAGAAGGAGACTAGGAAAAAGAAAACACAGCCGCCGTGGACGCACGTCTCGGCGAACGTTCGGCTATGGTATGCCGGCTGGTATGTTGAGCGACAGAGACCGCTGCATCACTAGCTGCCGAGTGTTCGAAAGCGCCGGTGCCAGCAACGGACCGAGCCATGGGTCGCTGCTTCTCGCGCTCCCGCCCGAGCTACTGGAGAAGGTGGCCGGAGGGTGTGGCATCGCTCCGGTGGTGCATCTCGCGGCCAGCTGCAGAGAGTTGCATGATCAGCTGGACAGGCTGTTAGCGCCCAAGAGGGAGGCGGCACGGGCGCTGTTGGCTCGGCGCAAGGCGGCGCAGCCGTCGAGGCTGAAACGAGTATTTGCTGCCATTGACCGGTCTTTCTGGAGGGCGTTGATCGGCGATGTGGACTTTCTGGAGGGTGTGAGCTTTGGGTACGACCCCGATGCGGACGAGAGCCTGAATTAGCAAGCTCCCCCATTCAGTGCGATCTCACGTCGAAGGAAGCTGACTTCCACTTAGAAGTCAGGAGATTCCACTCTCAGCGGCCCAGGCTGGCGACGCAGTCGAGCTAGGACGGCACGGGTGCGAGATGGCACGCCGCTCTTGCTGCTTTGCGTGGCATGGCGTTGTCCAGGACGTTCAGACGGCGCTCAAGGCGTGCGCGCGGTGTTGCCAGGGTGTTACACCTCTTTCTTTCGTCCCGCGTCAGCTTCCACAATCGTCCCGCTGTGACGTGTGTGAGCACGGTGCGAGCGGTGAGCGGTGTGTCTCCTCGAGTCTGCATGTTCTCTCTCGCCCTCGGAGATGCTCGGCGGGGCTGTGGCACCGTGTGTGGCCAACCGCGTGTCGCTGCCGGCTTCTTTCTTCTCTCGCTTTGGCTTTCGCGGCGCACACATTGTGTCATCGAGCGCAATCACGGAAGAACGTTCGCGCTGTTGCACGCCAACCGTGAACCACCCACGTGCTTGTGCGTCTTGGGTCCGGAGTTGTGCGTTTATGTGGGCCAGGCGCAACACGCAGGCTGAGAGCGCGCTCCCGCTGTCGTCGGACGCCTTCCTCCAGCTGGCCGGGCGGGTCGCCGTGTGGAGGGAGCAGGTGGTGCGGGTCATGGAGGCGGACGCCCAGGAGGCGAAGGCGGAGGCGAAGGCTCGGCAGAGGGAGCGCGTCGCTGCCATCCTCGCGGGCACGGACGCTGCGGGCGCGGGCGCGGGGGTGGAGGAGGCGCTCAATTGCTGGGAGGAGGATGCGTACGAAGCGGAGACGCTGGAGGCGCTCGCCGAGTTCGGCGATTGAGCGCCTCCCTCTCTCTCCGGCTGCGCGCATGACCGGTGCGGCCTCCGAGTCGGCGTCTAGCGCGCACGATAAAGTTTTTGCTCGCCTTCCCTGGGACCCCGTGTTGCATGTCTGACTGTCTGTGTGCGATTTCGGGCCCGGGGTTGTGCGTTTACGTGAACCACCCACGGACAGCTCAAAATCGCTGTGCGCGGCTGGCGGCTTGAGCGCGCGCCCTAAGGCCTTCATGTCGCACCCGAGCGTCTCAGCGCCATCCCTGGGCCCTGCGGCAGCGGACCGGAGCGGTTGAAGGCGACTTGACGCGCCGCGCCTCACGCGCTGCGGCCGCGACGCCGCAGTGCCGCAGCGCCGTCGCTGCGCCAGGCTTCCGCGGCTCTGGGGGCGCGGCGGCTCAAATAGCCGCGGTTAGGTGGTGTTGTCCACCAGTATGAACACACCCATGCGCGGCGTGGTCGGTTCTTCGCCACACATCGCTGGAAAGGTCAGCTGACAAGGGGCAAAACGGGCAAAAGGGAGTTTTCTGCCATCCCTCACGCTCACCAGCGCCGGCCGCACGCTTGCAGGCCACTTCTGAGCGGCTGAGGCAAGTCCTCGTGGTGGACAAGGACGGATCCGCGCCGCTTTGCCGGCTCGCGCCGCGCTGCTCGCCTCTCCGAGAGGTGCCTCTCGCCCGCCTGCCCGCCACTGCAGCGAGAGGGAGTTTCTGCCATCCCTCACGCTCACCAGCGCCGGCCGCACGCTTGCAGGCCACTTCTGAGCGGCTGAGGCAAGTCCTCGTGGTGGACAAGGACGGATCCGCGCCGCTTTGCCGGCTCGCGCCGCGCTGCTCGCCTCTCCGAGAGGTGCCTCTCGCCCGCCTGCCCGCCACTGCAGCGAGAGGGAGTTTCTGCCATCCCTCACGCTCACCAGCGCCGGCCGCACGCTTGCAGGCCACTTCTGAGCGGCTGAGGCAAGTCCTCGTGGTGGACAAGGACGGATCCGCGCCGCTTTGCCGGCTCGCGCCGCGCTGCTCGCCTCTCCGAGAGGTGCCTCTCGCCCGCCTGCCCGCCACTGCAGCGAGAGGGAGTTTCTGCCATCCCTCACGCTCACCAGCGCCGGCCGCACGCTTGCAGGCCACTTCTGAGCGGCTGAGGCAAGTCCTCGTGGTGGACAAGGACGGATCCGCGCCGCTTTGCCGGCTCGCGCCGCGCTGCTCGCCTCTCCGAGAGGCGATAGTCGACCTCCGCGCCCGCAGTGCGTGCAGCGGCTGGGCGCCAGGCGCGGTGCGGAGGGCCGCGGGGGGCCAAACTGGCTCCTGCTGCTCATATTTTTGACGTGTGTGTAGTCTATACAGTCTGTACACCAGCGCCAGTGCCGTCAGTGCCCACGCGAGAGGCGCTAATGCCTGTTTTTGCGCCTTGTCCGGACTGGCTGGGCGGTGGTTCACGGTTGGCGTGCAACAGGTCGTTCATATACACGATATCTCTACCGACTCCTTACACTTAAGGTCATTCACGGGTGTCCGCGGCCCACTGTGCCCGCTGGTAGGACAGTGATCGCCGCAAACCCTGTGGTCACAGCTCCATATGATCTCGGATATTTTTTGTGTAGGCACCGGAACGCCAAAAAACTACTATGTCTTCGAGTGAAAAGTAATCCGAGCAAGCACGCGGCCGCAGTGAATTAAAAGGGGCGGTTTTCGAGGGGGAATCTGGAGAATCTGGGAATCGGCTCACCACGGACCCCCACCTCCTCGAAAAACTTTTCACTCCAAGACATAGTACTTTTTTAAGGCGGTGCTCTACACGACCTAGGCACAAAAGATATGGCATTGCAGGCCATTTAGGGCCCCTTAGACGATCACTGAGTAGGCCGAAATCCCCACTGGGCCGGGAGCAACCTTAAAGCTCCTGTCGGCGCGCCGAGAGGAGAAAATAATTCTGATCATATCGTCCTCAGGCGCACCGCTGTGGAGCCGGTACGGAACTGGCGTGGAGTCTGGAGAGCGCTCCCACAGCCGTCAATGGACTGCCCCTGGCGGCCCGCCGTCCCCTCCGATTCCCAGTGAGTGTGCTATTGGCTTTGAGAGGTGGACGAGGCGACGGGCAGCTGGCGCATGAGTGGCACCGAGACCTTGCGAAACAGATCCAGCAGCCTCTGCGCGAGCGGTGCGGCGCGAGAAGCGACGAGGTTGTTGGTGCAGTCGATGAGCGAGGCACGCAGCGAGCCGCCTGCCGCGTCGCCGCCTGTTCCGCTGGCGGCGCCACCACCGCCGCCGCGCAGCATGAGGGCGAGAGACGGCGGCACGAGCGCAGTCGCCACAACGAGGAGGTGCCAGTGCTGGCCGGCCCACACGCGCAGCGGCGAGATCTCTGTGCGCGAGATGAGCGTCGCCTCCTTTCCGCTCGCCTCCAGGGCGGTGATCAGCTCCTCGGAGGCTGGGCCGTCTGCGTGCGCCATTACGAACACCCGCTTTGCGGCGAGGTCGACGCTGCAATCGACCACGCCAGGGAGCGAGAGGGCAGAGGTGACGGCCGAAGCGCAGCCGCCGCACATCATGCCCGGCACGGAGATGGTGGAGATAGTCGCCGGGCGGCGATCGACGCCGAGAGCACCGAGCATGGCGCTGCGTTGTCGTTATTTTCTGTTTGGAAAGAATTCTACGAATACAAGCCCCTCTCACAGCAGACTGGCACGAACTAGCACCACAATTTGGAAAGAAAAGGAAGCTGGCGCGTCAACGCAAGAAAGAGATACGGTTCCGACTCCGGCTCCGGCTGGTAGTCGACAAGCTGCCGAGCGCAAATCACTCTGTGTGACACATTTCTTGTTGGCTTCTAAAAATCTCTCTCTCAACGCAACAGAAAAGGGGCCCCCGCCGTCAACGCAACAAGGTCAGTGTTCCAAGATCCTGCTCGTGCAGG